CGGAATTACACTCAATTTGAGTCTGCTATGGAAGATGCTTTCAATATAGTATGTAGATGTAATAAAGTGGTTGTTGTGTGTGGTGATTTTAATATAAACATTTTAGTTAAGTGTCCATTAGTGAGTAGGTTTCTAAACTTATTTAAATCATATAACTTGGAGCATACCTTCTTTGAGCCTACCCGCATCACACATGCATCAGCGACCTGTTTGGATAATATTTTTTGTAATAGAAATGTTTTTAATAAATCAATAATAAATTGTATTAATTCTGATCATAGCGGAAAATTAGCCTCTATTGAACACCATCATGCTTCACCCAAACATGACCTAACTTGTAGACCAATTACACAAACGGGTATAAATAAATTTCAAGATAGCGTTTATCACAAAATATCGTACTTACCAGTTTATAGTAATAATAATATTTTGTATGAAGATTTATTCAATTTAATTAAAGATGAATTTAATATAATATTCAAACGCAAAGTTATTAAATGCCATAGCTTTAAAAAGAAATTTAGTGATTGGGCCACACCGGGTATTTACAAAAGTAGAAATAAGTTGTATCAATTATATGCTCTCAAGGCAACCTCATCTGATCCTAAGTTTATAGAATATGTCAAAAACTATTCAAAAACTTTTAAAAAGGTGTGTGCCATAGCAAAAGCTAAGTTTTTATCAAAAGAAATTAGTCTTTCCGATAATAAAATAAAGACAACTTGGAATATAATTAATAATGAAACTGGAAGAAATAAATTTAATGAACACACATATTCTTTAAAAATAGACAATAAGATTATTAGGACAGATGATGCCGTTGCAAACACTTTTGAAAATTTCTTTTCTAGTGCACCATTTGAAACAACTAGAAATCTTAATTCTTGTTCTAGGTTAGCAATGACCCTCCTTGAGTCAAGTGTTGATAAGTGCAGTAATGATTTTCATTTTAGACATATCAGTAGTGACTGTATTATAAAAACTTTTAACTCAATTAAAATTAAAAAGACAGAGGATTATTGGGGAATATCAACATATATAATAAAACCGATTATCACTGTTATTGCGCCACAACTGGCCATTATATTTAACAAATGTATTGATGAGGGAGTGTTTCCAGATCTAATGAAATGTGCTAAAGTTATCCCTCTCTTTAAGGCTGGTGACAAATCAGATCCCAGCAATTTTAGGCCTATATCTGTATTACCAGCGCTAAGTAAAGTATTTGAGAAAATAATTTATAACCAATTACTAGCACACTTTTCTATAAATAAGCTATTTCATTTAAAACAGTTTGGTTTCACTAGAGGCAAAAGTACTACTGATGCTGGAACTGCACTTCTCAAACACATCTTTGATATATGGGAGAGTAAGCACGATGCTATTGGCATTTTTTGCGACTTATCAAAGGCGTTTGACTGCGTTAGCCATGAAACATTGTTAAATAAAATGAAGCATTATGGTGTATCAAATATTTCACTAAGTCTGATACAGTCTTATCTTTCTGCTAGGATTCAGAAAGTAGTTATAAATGAAGCTGAGTCTACAGGAGCACCCATTTCTATGGGCGTGCCCCAGGGTTCAATATTGGGCCCATTGCTTTTCCTTATTTATATCAATGACCTTCCTCACTTTACAAGAGATTTGTGTGAGACAGTACTATTTGCTGATGACACCTCTTTATTGTTTAAAGCTAGAAGAGGAAAGGATTGTTATGACGAAGTAAATTGTGCTCTCTCTTCACTGGTTTACGGTAAATAATTTAAAACTTAACTCCAGTAAAACAAAATGCGTTAAGTTTACTGTACCTAATGTGAGGCAGGTTAATACTAGTATAAAAATAAATGACCAGCCTGTAGAGTTAGTGGATTTTACAAAGTTTCTGGGTATTACTTTAGACTCTCGTCTGCAATGGGATCCGCATATTGATGCCTTGTCAAGTAGATTGAGCTCTGCAGCTTTCGCTGTTAAAAAGATAAGACTCTTAACTGATGTGGAAACGGCAAGATACTTTGGTTACTTTCACAGTGTTATGTCATATGGCCTTTTGTTGTGGGGCTCAGCCGCTAATATCGAAAGTATTTTCATACTGCAAAAGAGAGCTGTTCGCGCCATATACAATTTAAAGGCAAGAGAATCCCTTAGAGAAAAATTTAAAGAAATTAATATTTTAACACTGGCGTCGCAATACATTTATGAAAATTTAATATATGTAAGAAAAAACTATGATGAATTTGCAAAAAAAAGTCAAACCCATAACTTTAACACGAGATTTAAGAACAAGCTTGCCGTTCCATGTTTCAGACTCCAAAAATTAAGAGGTTCATTTCTGGGTTGTAGTATTGCATTGTTTAACAAAGTTCCCCAAGATCTGATTGAGCTTCCACTGACTAAATTTAAATCTCAGATCAAAAATACTCTTATGAATAAGGGCTATTATAAAGTTGATGATTATCTAAATGATCGTAATGCATGGACATAGTGTTTCTTATAATTTGATATTAAATGGGTATTACTCATTTTTCATAACAGTAATATTGTACCTATCTAATGCCGCTTCCTATATACTACTTAAAATGTTAACTATAAAATTAATTGTAACTGTTTATGTTCTAGATGATGTAATGGAAAGTGACTTCAGACGTATTTCTGAAGTAATTTTTCAAATTGACGACACTGTATATAACAATACAGGGAGAAAAAAAAACAGCCCTTGCTGAGTTTCTTGCCGGTTCTTCTCAGTACAAGGTCTCCCGCCGTAGTTTTGCGAACCGATGGCGTAGCTTCTTGACCTTCACAAGTGCTTGTAACAGCCTAGACTGAATAAATGACATTTCATTTCATTCATTTCATTTCATTACCCACTAAAAACCTGACGATGCGCCTCACCTCACCGATGGGCCGTCACCTCGTCGGGCGCAAGGTTCGCCATCAGGCGGCGAGGCAAAGGCAGTAGGTGAAACCACGGGAACCCGTATGGATACTTCATTCCCTCTCATCTCATCTCGCTCATCGACCAGGCGGGTTATTCTGTAAAATTTCCACGCGAGGATCCGACGCGGATCCGTGCGAATCTATATGAGAAATGCGCGAATCCGATGCGGGCCCACGCGTGAAAATTTTACAGAATAGCCCCGCTGGTTACTTCCCCTGGCGGAGGGTTCAATTCGAGCGGGAAATCCGCTATGACCTACCTACTTTTTTTAGATAATATTACTTTTTAAAAGTTATATCTAAATAAAAAAAAAAACACTGTGAAGTGTTCACAGCATTTTATTTATATCAACAGTATAGTTTTAACAAGGAACAACAATAGGTATTGGCATCAGGTAACCACAAAAGTGTCAATTTAACAGATTGTAAACTTAAACCTTTCTCAAGTAACAACAAGTAAAAGTTTGTTGAAGAAATCAATATGTCTGTTGTTCTGGATAACTTGACCTCGAAATTCATGTTCGGGCCTCTATTAAATATCATCGCGCGATGAAAGTCGAAAAATTAAAAAAAAAACGAATAGAATTAAATGTTGGTACCTACGTAATTCGCAGGGTCAGCTATTTAATAATAGATACTTACAATTTACTACATTAATGTCAATGCACTATAGTCTCAAATCAATAAACACATGTATCAATATAAGGATTTTATACTCCGATTACTACTTTGAACAGTGTACACAACTTTTTGTCGAGATGTCCCAGATATGAGTCTGACTTGGAAACATACGGAACCAAGTTGTTACAAGTCAAGTAAGTGTTGAAACATAACGTCCCTGGTTTATTCTCTTGGATGTATTATTTAGTTTTATCATGTACTAGTGGCCCGCCTTCGCTTCGCTTCGGGGTAGAATTGATTAAAATCCTTTCTTAGCGAATGCCTACATGCATGCATGCCAAATTTCAGCCCGATCCGTCCAGTGGTTTGGGCTGTGCGTTGATAGATCACTATGTAAGTCAGTTACCTTTGAGTTTTATATATATAGATAGGTGTTTATGGCGCACTCATGGTTTTAAGAGAGGTAGGGCACAGCGGATTTCCCGCTCGGATTGGAGCACCCGTCTGGGGAAGAAACCTCCACATTACAGAAGACTGCAGTAAAATAACACTACCTTTTGGTGGTGTTGTATTTCTGTCGATGAGAAAGGTTCCAGGGCTACACGGGGTTAGCCCCGGCTAGGCCGGGAGGCTGCTGGGTGCGGAGACGCCGAGAATCCCTAAACGGGGATCCCGCGGCTTCGCATCAGGCAGCTTAGAGCGTATTCGCAGGGTTTTGTAGCGGATATTATGCCGTAAAGCACCCGTAAGAATTGCGGGTTCCTCAGTGGGCAGTCACTACGGGGCGGGGGCTTGTAAGGCTTGCGGGAGCCAGGTGTGAGGTCCGTTCGGCGGTGTGCCTCTTAAAGGCGTCGTCGTCTGTAAACAGAGGTTTTACCTGCGTCACAAAAAAAAGGGCTACACGGGGTTGTTGCCTACCCTAGCCCAGGGTAGGCAACGGTGCGAGTGATATTTTTGGTATCGCTAGCGCCTATAGGCTTTGGCGGCCGCTTACCATCAGACGGGCCATACGTTTGTTTACAACCCTTTTTACATTAAAAAAACCTCGATTTTATTAAGAAAAGTGATTAATCTGCTGTTCTAATGTTTATTTATATCTAGACTGTCGTACTCAAAAAAAAACACCAATAATATGTTATCTTAATAGTATCTCGCATTATTTAGTTATTTCGTTTGATACATACTGTGACGGGTAACTAAATACTCTAAGATCATTAACTGCATAAAACAAATTTGGTATGCAGAAAATAGTTAATCAGCCCTAATAAAATATTTTTAACTGTTTATATTTTTAAAGGAACTTTTTCAAGCGTTTGTTCATTCTTTTTGAATTTTTAAATGAGTAAATGAACCAAGTGTGCAAAAGGTCGGCATTTCCGCGTAAGTACTGGAAACAATTAAACATTGTCTATCTATTCGTTGCTGCCTCAACGAACTGGCAACAACGGACGGTTAACGCGCGGTCTTAAAGTTATTTTTTAAAACGCAATACCGTAATGTGTATTATCATAAATCGTGGAGTCGGGTTAGCTCCACATATCCAGAGCTGCATTCACCTCGTTGCAGTGGTAGCACACAGTCATGGATAGATTATGTTTTACCGTCAACGGTGTAAAATGTCACGGTAAGTTTGTTTATTATTTTCCTAGGGATCCGCTCTGGTTTTGCACTCGTCAAGTTTACTTTAACGTGATAAATATAGCTCAACTTAATGCATATAAAACATACAAGCATAATGTTGCATTCTAATGGTGAAAGAATTTTCGAAAACGGCCCATTCTTTTTGAGTTAGTATTAACATTTATTTTACTACACTTTTGATTTTTTTTACTTTTGCAACATAACTTTGGGCACGGAATGTTTCATACAAATGTCACTATGTAACGTCCCATGGTCGAATTGTTAGGACAAAGAAGGTGCGGAAACTATTCTAAGATTAACTGACGCTTACTCTCTCGACTCTTGATATTGCAAACAATAAAAATAAATGACTAAGGCCCGTATTAAAGAAAGATTCTCAGTGACTGATCTAGTCTTGAGCATAGTTACAAAGGGATGGCGCTATATACAGCACATAGCGACATCCCTTTCTAACTGTACTCAAGTAAAGATCAACACTTAGTTGTCATTCTGTAATACGGGCCTTAGAAAGGTAATTAACGCGTTAAACGTTGCGTTTAATAAAATTGTACGAATTTTGAAACAGTTAAATATTATAAAGGTTATACATATTAATATAATTTCTCCATTTATTAGTATTTTTATAAACCAAAATAAACACCTCTTCTGTTACGTAATGTACCTATCCTATTGCAATTTGATTATACCTAACAAAAAAATATTAACTAAGCAAAAGTCGCGTTTTATCTATACTTATAATAAATCTGTAGAGATGTCAATTCTGTACATGAAATATATTTTTAAAATAACTATCAGGGGGTGATTAGTGATCGATACTGATGCCAAAAATGCAATCAGTAAATTTTTTGTCTGTCTGTCTGTCTGTCTGTCTGTCTGTCTGTCTGTCTGTGTGTTTGTTCCTTATAGAAACAAAAACTACTGGACGGATTTTAACGAAACTTGGTACAATTATTCTTCATACTCCTGGGCAGGTTATAGTATACTTTTCATCACGCTAAAATCAGTAGGAGCAGAGTAGTGAAGGAAAATGTTGGGAAAACGGGAGAAGTTACTCCATTTTTTAAGCTTCCGTCGCGTGTGCAGCCTTAATGATTAAAGTTACATAGAAATCATGTATGACGGAAATATTCTACATAAAATTGTCTAAAAAATATCCCGCAACAGCATATGTCTATCTTTTATGGTTGACTCACAATAACACGTGTAACTCCCGATAGCTTAGCAGTTCGGAGCATTCTGATCATATTTGTTTACTCTTACGTTTATAATACTCGGTATAGAAACACCAAACTTATACATGAAATAAGCCATCGCGCCGTCGCACGTGAATACTGAATCATGCTATAAGGATTATTTTTGTGTAACGGTTGCCGCGCTCGACACGGGTCGCGGCAGCGGTAGGGTATCCAAGGTCCGAGAGTGAGCTGTCTAAATCTGTTTTTTGCGTCGCTCCCCCCCTGGGGGACGATCGCTTCCGATGAAGCCTTAGAGGCCTTCCCGGCCAGAGGCAGCCCCTAAGGGTGTTTTTTAGTCAGTACGAGTCTAGGACCACGTATTAGTTGTTTTGGTAGTGTTTAAATATTCGTTCAAAGTGTAATTTAATCATATAGGATGAATGTATGATGGCCCATCGAAAAGGAGTAGAAGCGGTAGACAGAACTTTAAGAGATATAAGACAAAATGATCGACCCATGGGCGGTATCACAGTTTTATTTTGTGGTGATTTCCGACAAACCTTAACGGTAATACCACGGGGAACCCGAGCTGCTGAGGTTAGGGCTTGCCTGAAAAGCTCTTATTTGTGGCATGATATACAATCGGTGCATTTGACTATAAACATGCGAGTGAGAACTGTAGATAACCCGGATGATCGTGAATTTTCTGATATATTATTAAAGAAAATACCTTCACCAAAGATACCTATCCACTGCTACACCAAGGAAAACTTATTCTGACGCCTGAGTTATGTTGTATAGTGCAATCCCAACAACATCTTACATCGTCAGTTTACGGTGACGTAACAAATATATTAAATAAGAACAATTCTTGGCTATGCGAAAGGTCCATTTTAGCTCCTCGCAATGACCAGGCATCTGAAATTAATAATAAAATACTGTCGAATATCCAGGGGGAAAGCAAAGTTTATAGTTCAATAAATAAAATGGCCGATGAACAAGAAGCCACTAATTACCCGATAGAATTTTTAAATTCTTTAAATATGCCCGTACTTCCTTCTCATGAAATTTGTTTAAAAATTGGCATTCCGATTATTCTGCTCCGAAATTTAGACCACCACAAATTTGCAATGGAACTCGGCTTAAAGTAACCCAGTTGCAACAAAATGTAATCGAGGCTCAAATTTTAATAGGTTGCGGTGCAGGAGAAACCATCTTTATTCCCAGAATTCCCATAATACCAAATAATTTTCCATTCCAATTTAAAAGAACGCAATTCCCAGTATCGGTGTGTTATGCAATGACAATAAATAAGGCTCAAGGGCAGACTTTTCGCGTTGCTATAGTAGATCTCGGTGTCAGTTGTTTTTCACATGGTCAGTTATATGTCGCTCTTTCCCGGGTTAGCAGTTCTAGAAACCCTTATGTTCACGTGCCGGACGGGTCAACTTTCAACGTAGTTTACCCGGATGCTTTGCGCTGAAGTATTTTCATTCTATATGTACTTAAGGCTCATGTGAAAGTGATCTAAACAATATTACCAATACACTAACATAATAACATACAAGGAGTTACACGCTGATGATCTCGGGGCACAGTGATAATAATAATATTCTGCGGTTCCTTATTGCGATATTTTTAACAGTATTATATTTCCCTACTAAAATACGAAAGTTAATCTGTCTGTCACATCAAAACCACGGAACCCTGAAGAAGGACATATGCTACTTTTTTACGAAAAACGACGATAACGCGGACGAAGTCGCGGGCAAAAGCTAGTTCAAAATAAAGTTGTACGTGTGAGTTGCTTGCAGTTGTGAAAGTTTCTAACAAAATTAGCATTAAGATTCATTTATACGATGCAATTTTTTGTACATACAAGAACAACAATTTAATACATTAGATGAGGTGCAAAAATTGACCTTTAAGAATTGTAAACAACCGTATGTGTAATTGTATTATTGAATGCCAGTATTGACAAGAAAGTATCGCAAATGTCTTTTGTTTACACCAATACAATTATATTTATTAGATTATTGTTATCAAGTTTTGATATGGCTAAACACAGGAATATTTCATTCAAGTATTGAACGTTTTTGGCTGTCTGATGAGCAAGCCCTTGGCGGGGAAGGGATTGAAAAAAAGTCTTATTATGAAAATCATTTTAACACCCAAACGGCTCTTAGAATGATATTTTTTTATTATAAAATTGGATGTTTTGATGTTGGCAATATCACCGTTTCAGAATCTATAAAAGCGGTTAGCCAGCAGTGCTATTGAGTGAACTAACTCACTTTTCACCTCGGAGAATTCTGCGGTATGATTTAAAATTAGTACATGAATTTCAAATGACACCGGTGAGTTTTGCGGTGAAAAAATATATTTTAATTACAAAATAGCACCGCGGGATCGTAAAATAACTTTGATCCAACATTTTGACGTGAATGCTTAAATTTTATTTGATAAGTGGTTCCTATTAAATGCTTTTCTTCACCTTAAGTTTTGAACCTCTCGTCTGTGATACATGTCACGTGAACCAGTATGGATATACTGGTGCCTTTGTGTAGGCTTAATTCTTTTACCTCAGAGTCAAAGAAAAAATCCGTTAATTATAATAGTTCTTCTTGTAATATAAATATTTTTGATTAATAATTTTACAGTGGGGTGCGAAGTGAGCTCGGATGTGACATTATTGGACTACCTCAGGGACTATTTAGAACTGCGCGGTACAAAGTACATGTGCCGCGAGGGAGGCTGTGGTGCCTGCATTGTCACTGCAACCAAGTCACACGGGGAGAGTCCCATATCAGTCAATGCTGTAAGTGTAGTTTCATTAATAACTAAATATTTACTAACTATCCACTAATTCTCGACTTCGTCAGTTTCCCATACAAACTTTCACCCCCCTTTTCAGACCCTACTTACAAATTTTATCTAAATTCGGTTTAGCGGTTCCAGCGTGAAGAGGTACCTAATAGACAGACATGCGTATTTTCACATTTATAATATTAGTAGGTAAAGACGTAGTTAAATAACAAAGAATGTATTTGTTACTTCTGTAGGCATTTGAAACGCGCATAAAATCGTAAAACAACATCGCTTAAAACAACAAAATATAAACATCCTTATTTTAAATTGCATAATATTGGTAATTTTTTTAGATATCTATAAAGATCTGAGCAAATAACTCCGCCACACCTGACGTTAATTGAAGATGGAATTCAGATAGTGATAGCTGGTGTTTTACCTGCCACATCAGCCATCCTCACCTTGCCGGCTTGCAAGTTTTCGATTTACATTACGATATACTAAAGAAGAGTGGAGGAGCCTGACAGTGTAGGTGGTTAGCGAATTCGGCCTGCGATCTTGAAAGTTCATCAACTTTTATAATGGTCGGTCATTGGATGGGTGACCGAAAACTTATTATCTTGAGCGCCTCCGTGCTTTGGAAGGCACGTTAAACCATTGGTGACGGTTGCATTAGCAGTCTTTAGCACCCATCAATCCGCACTGGGCCCGTGTGGTGGGTCACGGCAAAGCCCAATCTCCCTATTCCATCCATAAACACAGTGGGGATATTGGTATACAGATTAGGATGATACTAAAATAAATACAAATTATTTTGATGTTAAAGCTGTATTATCGACCTTAAGACCTTGATTTCATAGCCAGCTGTATACAGCTATGTCATTACTAAGATCGCTTTTAATTCCTGCACATTACCATGTGAAAAAGGAACTTCTCTCTATTGTTTTAAGTTTATCCATTTTGATGCATAAGATTGTCATTGTTTCTTACTTCATACCTGATTATAGGAGGCCTCTCGTTTATATTGGTTGAAAAACCATGGGAATTTTATTGTCAACGTTGACTATTAGTCTAACCTTCTAGACTTATTCAGCTTCTAGAAAAGCGTAACGCAATACCTTTTTAATATATTAAAGCTTTCAATAATGGTGTTGGTTCAATATTTCTATGTTTGACAGTAACGTGAGATTCCCTCATTTTTCTTATAAACCTAAATCCTTCAAGGCTTTCTTAGAAGTAATGTTAGTTTGATATCATAAAGTGATACTCTTGTTGTTTGCAGTTACAATAATATTTATCTTCGATTTCTGGTTGAAAGATGTGTAGCAAAGTGATATCGCATTCTCAGTATAAAACTTTTAACATATAATATTCTGTTATAACTACATACTAGAACAATAAAATTTGTAATGATTACGTCCTACTTTTATACTCATTAACTGTACAATGTCTTATGTTTCCGCAGTGCCTGGTGTCAATAACGTCTTGCCATAATTGGGATATTATCACCATAGAACGAGTGGGTAACAGAAGAGATGGTTATAACCAAATACAGAAAACTCTTGCTGAATATCATGGCTCTCAGTGTGGGTATTGCACTCCAGGTTGGGTTATGGCAATGTACAGGTACTCATGAACTAAAATTGAATTAATTAGATGAATCATTGATATTAATTTATCTTATCCAATTTTGTAATGATAAAATTTCTTTGTAGCCTTCTTCAGAGTAGGAAAAAAATTACTCAACTTGAAATCGAGCAATCGTTTGGAAGCAATATTTGTAGATGCACTGGCTACAGACCGATACTGGATGCCTTTAAAAAGTTCGCAAGTGACGCTTCTAAACCTGTGAAAATATCAGATATTGAAGATATACAAATATGTCGAAAGACCGGTGCCAAATGTGATAGCCAAAACTGCGACGAAGATGATTGGTGTATTGTAACTAAGGATGAATATCGTAATATATTTGAAATAGACCTCAAAGATGGTAAATACTGGTACAGAGTTTCAACGGTGCAAGATATATTTGACGTACTGAAGACCAAAGGAACTGATTCCTATATGTTGGTGTCTGGGAATACTGCTAAAGGTAAACTTACTTTAATTAGTTTTGTACACAAACCGTACTCCTTTTATTATTTTATTCGTTTTAATCATTTTTTTTCTTGATAATGTAATAGGTGTATATCCTATTGATGATTATCCATTAGTGCTAATTGACGTATCTGGAGTACGCGAATTAAAAGGTTGGAAATTAGACCAAAACTTGGTCATAGGAGCAGGTACAACGCTTACTGAACTGTTAGAAATATTCAATAAAATGAGTAAAGTAGAATATTTCAGTTATTTGAAAGCTTTTTATGATCATCTACAATTAGTGGCTCATATACCTGTAAGAAATGTAAGTAACTTATGACAATTTTTATCTTGAATATTTTAAGATACGTACGAATTTCTATTGTTATTAAATGCAATGTATTTTATTCATAGGGTAGTGTTTGTTTTCAATGTAACATGTGATATCAATTTAAAAAACTTACATACTATAACTATTGTAAGTAGTTATTTCAAAGCGATATAAATATATTAGTAATTGGTATCCCATAGTTTTAATTAAACACATACTTAGCTTGGCGTGAATGTATAGACTTTGTATATTTATTTTTATTTAAAGGCCATCTCTCATAAATTTTTAATCGGTGTTTTTCGTTACTAGGACGTTTTTTGGTGTATACTCTTATTTGAAAATTCTTGTCAATAATATAAGTATTTATTTGTTTTTAAAGTACTAAATATTTTATTTTTATTTTAGTTGGCATCAATTGCTGGTAATTTGATGATTAAACACCAGCACAGGGAATTCACATCTGACATTTTTCTTTTACTTGAAACTGTCGGTGCTGAGTTGACTATACGTAAGTAAATATATGTATAAAAATAGAATAAAAATATATTTACCTAGTAACTAGAAAATAAATATATTAGTTTTTCAAAATAAATTAACGATTTTTTTTATTTTTTTCATTACATCATTTTGTTCAACTTATACTTATAATATTTGAGTAGACGCTTGTGACGATATAGTATGGTATCTAGAAGCCTGCTAATAGAATAAAAATATTTTTGAAATCTTGTCTTACTTGTGATTTTTATTGAATATGAGTTTAAAGTCGACTGCAATCGTATCTGTACCAGAACGGTGATGTGATTCTATCGACGATAGTGGTTTTTATCTATTAAATGCTCATTAATCTTGAACTTGTAGACGTATAGTCTATAAGACATCAAAAATACTACCTCTAAGATATCAAATTAATAATTGCTTTTGTGGTATCCTTTTTGGTTTATCTAGAAGCCTGCTAATAGAATAAAAATATTTTTGAAATCTTGTCTTACTTGTGATTTTTATTGAATATGAGTTTAAAGTCGACTGCAATCGTATCTGTACCAGAACGGTGATGTGATTCTATCGACGATAGTGGTTTTTATCTATTAAATGCTCATTAATCTTGAACTTGTAGACGTATAGTCTATAAGACATCAAAAATACTACCTCTAAGATATCAAATTAATAATTGCTTTTGTGGTATCCTTTTTGGTTTCTCCTACCTAAATGACTACGTACAAAAAAGATAACGTACCTGATGTTTTTCATGAATACAAATTGCTTACATGTTATAATAATGTAAAAAAATTTTAGGCCATTACAGAGGATTACAACAATCCGTTTCCATGCAACAATATCTAAGATTAGATATGAGAGGAAAAGTCATATTAAAAATTGCGATTCCTCCATTGCTGGATAATGAATTCAAAATTGTGACCTACAAAGTATGTATTTCTCTTCTATATTGCCCAAATACAAGCATCAATAATTTATTCATTATCATTAGTATTGATGGTATAGTTGACAATAAATTGGTATTGTTTAAGTTTCAAATCTCTTTGGAAACCTTTTTGTATTAGAATAAACCTTATCATTAAAAACAAATTAAATCAAAATAATACCAAATAAATAACTCCTAAAGTGAAATTCTACCATATTTTTAAATTAATTATTCTAAATCGTTTTTAGATCTTGCCTCGGGCGCAAAATGCCCATGCCATAGTCAACGCTGGTTTTCTATACAGGCTGAAATCAGACGGAAAAGTCCGCCAATCGAGAATAATCTATAGTGGTCTTGTTTCCCCTTCTACCAGAGCAACTTTAACCGAAAAATTCATATTTGGAAAGAAACTGTTTACTAATGAAACGTTGCAAGGAGCTGTACGAGTTCTAGAACAAGAACTTGTTGCTACACCAAATCCACCCGAACCCTCGACAGAGTACAGAAAACGTTTGGCTTTAGGACTCTTTTATAAAGTAAGTGATTTACATGCGATTTTTAAATGACTTACGGCTGTCCATAAAGACATCAATCAACTTTTGAGTTTAATAAACATGATGGTATGACTTTCTTTGCAATAACAATAGAATGCGATAACACGTGACTTAATAAGGCGTTAAATTTAATTGTAATTTCTGAGTGAGGCCATTTCATTCTGCATGTTATTGCCAGCAAAATAAATTTTCAATATCAAATGCTTGGCTTAGAGAAATCAGTCAGATTAATGATTCCTTGGATGGGTATATTAATAATGGCTTCTTAAACGGATATCAGCAATTTATGTGTCACCGGCAATCTGTATGATGAGGATCCGTAACGATTTTAGTTGATAATGCAAATTCATAGAACAAAAAATTCCATAAAATACAGTGGCTAAATTTTTGTTCTACGACAAATATAGACGAAGTTATGAACAAATTACTAAACGCGTGGTGACGGTGACATCACAAAGCTCTAGCGCCTGGGCGCGAGCATGCGTAGAGACACTACAAAAGTTCGCCGGAGTGAACCACGAGCTCTGTGACGTTACACGTTTCGGCCGCCGGTGAATATTGGCTGGCAATAAAATTAGTTATAAAATTGCAATGAATAGACTGATTTCGATGATTTAAAAAGTATATTGATTAAAAATCTTATTAGATCATTATACTGTTGATTTTGAGTTGATTTGCTGACCTAGTAACGATCTTCATTGAGGTATTCAAATAATACTTAAGCAATGTATAGAATGTCTGGGGCGTCTAGGCAAAGTAGGAAATATTATAAATATAATATTATAAATTTCTAGAGATTGCACCCACCAATCCACAACGAGAGCAAGAGTACCTGCTGGCCCAACGGCAATGTGTGAAATAAACAGATTTGCCCTGTAATTATCCTAACCAAGCTTTAGCTAGCCTACCCGGTTAAATATAAAATGACGGATGGATTTTATAATTCTCAGCAAATAAAGAGTCACAGTGGTTTAGGTTAAGTTAGTGTTACAAACTTAATTTAGCGCAAACCAAGCGAGCAAAGCAAGCGTGCCGCGGCAGTTGATAGATAAATAATTATAGATAATAGATAAATAAAACAAGAAAAAGTCGACCCGCTATCTTCTTTTGCTCACATTGTCGACTGCGCATCCAGCATTGTATAGAATACCCAGGGCAAAGTATAAAATCAAAAATATTTCATACATTGCCTTGACATTTTAGACGTCATTCTATACATTGCCTAGGTATTGTGTAGGATGCCGGATTAATTCAATAAAACTATGTGGGAGATAGTTAAAGAATGTAGGAACAAAGAAAAAGAAAAATAACATAAAATTAAATATAAATGGTACAAATATAGAAGACCCTAACATTATTGCAAATACCTTTAATGCATACTTTGTTTCTGTAGGAAAAGACATAGCTTCTGGTAACAGAATCATAGATCCCTCTGGCCGACCAGCAATGAACGCTATAGAGAGTTCTATGTATCTTTATCCCCTTGAGTTACATGAAACGTACAAAATTATTAGTAACTTAAAAAATAAAAAAAAAACTATGGCATAGATGAAATCCCACCTATCCTAATCAAACAATGTATTGATGAAATAGTTTTTCCATTAACGACATTAATAATCAGTCTTTTAATGAAGGAACTTTTCCTGACGCTTTAAAAATATCCCTAATAAAATCCATACACAAAAAAGAAGACATCACAGGTAAAAGTAACTACATACCGATAGCACTACCAACAACTTTTGCCAAAATTTTTGAATCTGCAATGTCACTGCGCCTAAATTCCTTTTTATAAAAAAAAATACTAATTAGATAAATGCCAAAATGAATTTCGAAAAACTAATTCAACTACACGGGCAGTATACAACTATATTCAGGAAGGAAGTTCTAAATATCATAAGTAACAAAAAATATGCTGTGGGGTTTTATTGGACTTGAGCAAAGCCTACGAACGGGTTTCCTATAAAATACTTTAAAAAAAACTGTATAGCATTGGCATAAGAGGCGTTGCTTACATGTGGTTTGTTTTCTACTTAAAAACAGGTCACAATACGTAGAAATAGAACATTATAACTATGAAAAGGGTTTAATCACAAATGTGCGATCAAAAAAAGCTGAAGTAAAAATGTCCATTCCTCAAGGAAGCGTCCTAGGTTGTCTCTTGTTATCTATATTAACGATCTTCTAAAAATCATTAACCACATAAGTGTATTATTTGCTGATGACGTATCTGTAGTATTCTCAAGCACAAATATTACAGATGTATATAAAAATCTATATGGAATTATAAATAATATTAAAAACGGGCTTCACAACCACAATCTAATTATAAACTTCAAAAAAAAACAAAAATACTACAATTCAGACCTTACCAAAAAAGAGCTTTACAAATAGATTACCAGCATGAGATTATAAAATTGGAATGTGTAGATAGTGCAACTCTATTAGGTATCAATATTGCCACAACATTAACTGGAAAAATCACCTGCAAAATTTGGCTGGCAAGTTATCCAGCTTTATATACGCATTGTACCACCTAAAAAGATCGAGTGACCTAAAGACAGCATTAGCCGCTTTCTATGCCTACGCCCATGGTTGCATAAGTTATGGTATAATCCTTTGGGGAAACAGCACTGATGTTCAAAAATTATTTTTAGTACAAAAAAGATGCGTATGAATTTTAAATAATGTGAACAGTATGGAAAGCTGCAGACCACATTTAAGTCTCTATCTTAAGAACTTGTAATTACCACATGAAACAATAAATATATTGGAATTCAATTGTACAGTTTGGCGGTAACATATGTACTAAAATTTTCTTATCTTAATATTATACTAATAAATATTTTATAATCTTAATATTATACTAAGCTTTTATTAAGCTTGTGTAACTGGGGCTTGAGATGAACTTTTGGCTTGAAAGTAATTATCTACTGCTTTATGCAAAATAAATTGTATGTCAACGTCCACAATAATTGTTAGTGATGAGGAACAGTAATTACTTCGTATTTGTAAATGTTTATTTTAGAGTTTGTTGACTCTTTGCCCAGTGGAGAAGCTCAATACGCGATACCGTTCCGGCGCAATCAAAATACATTCCACTCGACCTGTATCAGATGGCAAACAAATATTTGATACAAATCCACCAATGTGGCCCTTAACTCAGCCAATACAAAAAGTAGAAGCATTGGTAAGTCCTTGGGTTGCAAATGAATGTTTGATTGATGTAATGCACACAAACACATTGTTTTTTTTACTTTTTCTTTAGATACAATGTTCAGGCGAAGCGCAATACTCAGAAGATTTACCAGCTTTTCCACATGAAGTTTTTGCTGCATTTGTTCTTACAACGGAAGGCTCAGGAACTATTCGAGATATAGATGCCAGTGAAGCTTTGGTAAAACTAAATATGCAATACTAATTGTTTAAATACATATAAAACATGAAAATAATACGAAGCAAACTATATAACCTTTTCTTTGTCTCTAGAGTTTGCCTGGTGTTATAGCATTTTACACAGCGAAAGATATACCAGGTCTGAATTCATTTACCCCCAACGACAGTGTATTATATTCAGCAAACGAAGAAGTTTTATGTAACGGCGTAGTCCGCTATTATAATCAACCCCTTGGAATAATAGTTGCTGAAACAAGGCATTTAGCTGATCGTGCGGCAAAAATGGTTCGTGTCACATACAAAAATGTAAAAAGACCCATCATTGACATAAATGAAGCTAAAAACGATCCTTTAAGATTAATGCAATATGCTTCCACACAAGCAACGGAAAAGGGAAATGATGTGGCACATGTTATAAGAGGTGCTAATTCCATATATCAACAATATCATTTTATGATGGAGACTTTGGTGTGCGTCACGAGACCCTCGGAACAAGGTCTTGAGGTATTTAGTGCTACCCAATGGATGGATGGAACACAAATGATGATATCCCGAGCATTGAAAATGGATTCAAACAGGTTTGTTGTGCGTGTTTCTTTATGAACGTACTAAAATCCAAATTTAGATATATATTTTTTATTTTATTATAGCATTGATGTGTATGTAACGCGACTTGGTGGTGCATATGGTATTAAAATTTCACGTTCTACACAACTGGCGGTAGCATCTAGTCTTGTGGTTACAAAATTAAACAGACCATGCAGGATGATACAAGCTTTGACGACCAATATGAGGGCTGTCGGAAAGAGAATGCCGTGTTCAAATGAATTCGAAGTAAGGTTTTTTGTTACCAATTTCACATTTTTTTATAATGTACAAGGCGCAATAAAGTACTCCGCCCCAACTGTACTTAGTGCCGCTCTAACACCTACCTACTAAAAGATTGTCTACTTTTGGCAAGCAGCTATAATAGTATAAGATTTGCAATTTAAATAATATAATATATTTATAATATAAGATTTGCAATAATGGAAGTTACTCATCTATTTCTAGATACGAAGTTACTAAAATCTGAATACTTGCTTTTTAGGTTGGGGTTGACAAAACCGGGGTCATTCAATATATAGACTATCAATTATTTCAAGACAATGGTTACAGGATTAATGAAACTTTGTCCCAACTTGGAGTTGATGTTCATTATAACGCTTACAGAAATTCAAGGTGGAAGTTCACTGGACAAAATGTCGTAACCGACACTCACAGTAACACATGGTGTCGTGCGCCTGGTATGTTTTTTTGTAAAATGTTTTAATAATAACAACTTTGATTGTAAATATGATAGAAAAACTAAACTCATGGATAAGTGATAGTATAGTACCTAGTCATTTAATTTTTTAACTATTCGCAGGTACTTTTGAGGCAATATCTATGGCCGAACACGTTATAGAGCAAATTTCCTATGAAATCTCTTTGGATCCTGTGGAAGTTAGATTGGCAAATTTGGATACAGAAAGATTTAACGAAGTAAAAGAGATGTTTGAAACATTGAAATCAAATTCTAATTACAATGAAAGAAAATTGGCTGTTGATAAATTTAACACTCAAAATAGATGGAAAAAAAGAGGTTTAAGAGTAGCTTTTATGAGGTGGTCGCCTTCGGGAGCCCCTCGTTTCGATGCCAATTTATCTGTATATCATGAAGATGGAACAGTAGTCATCACCCATTCTGGTATTGAAATGGGTCAAGGATTAAATACAAAAGCACTACAAGTAGCAGCATATTTCCTTAAGATACCACTCGAAAAGATTAAAATAAAAGGCAATAATACAATTATAGGACCTAACGCTTTTATAACTGGTGGTAGTATCGCCAATCAGAACATAGGGATTGCTGTACAGAGATGTTGTGAACAATTATTGGCAAGATTGGAACCTATTAAGGCTAGCATGCCACAGGCAAATTGGGAACAAATAATCAAAACTGCTTACGATTCAGACGTTGACTTGCAATCACACGGTTTCGTCAATACTGCTGATATTCAACAATATGACGTATGTGGAGTTGCGTTCGCTGAAGTTGAGGTTGATATTTTAACAGGTGAACACGAAATAATAAGAGTTGATTTAATTGAAGACCCAGGGCGAAGTATAAGCCCAGAAATTGACATAGGCCAGGTAAATATTTGTAATTATACTCGCTCAAAATGCAATGCCTTTTTAGCAACCATCACGTAAATTACGTCAGTCCATCCGCACGCATAGCGGACGGTGAGGATTCGAGTCTCATCTGCTGCTTGAACCGCGTGGTTTCTTTACTAAAATTTTTCTTTAGTCTTAAAAATGTAGCAGTTAAATGCTTAAAACATTTAAATGTAATGCTAATTTTGCTTGCCGCAAGGATTAATTTTAAGATCTTTCTATATTTCTAATTTTCAGGTTGAAGGCGCATTCATAATGGGTGTCGGATACTGGACATCTGAACACATTGTGTTTGATCCTAATAATGGGGAAATTCTAACTGATCGTACGTGGAATTACCACGTACCCCAAGCTAGAGATATACCACAGGACTTTAGAATATATCTAACAAAGAAGTATCCTAGTTCTGAACAAATACTGGGAACAAAAGGTACTTTAAGTACTTAAGTTACATTTTATTCCACAGTCTGTATGAATCTAACCAATATTGTGAAAGAATAATTAAGAGTCATAAACTCTTATATTAAATAAATTACATCATTTACATCGGACCCTCTGAAGTTGTAAAGATTGTTTCTTTTTTCAAATATTTTCAGCTATTGGAGAGCCTCCTTTGTGTCTCTCAGTTGTTATACCATTTGCGATTCGAGAAGCTATCGTATCTGCACGGTTGGATTCTGGAATTCCTACTAATAAATGGTTTCGCATTGGTAAGATTTTTAAATTTCAATAAAATTAAAAAGAAAACTCATAAACGTATTCATTTTCTTACTTAGAATTCAACGATAAAAAATAAATCGATTTAATATTATTAAATACATATATAAATGATCGGTAAAAGTAAATATACTTGCGGTACATGCGTGGGGTATACGATTTAGCTTTAATACTTTGGCGACCTCGTAGCGCGAGTGGTATGTACGCCGGGTTTCAATGTGTCGCCGCCTACTCAGAGGGTTCGAATCCCACTGGAGCAAATGTTTGTATGATGAATACGAGCATTTGTACCTAATTTATGGTCGTTTAAGTGATTGTATTTCTAAATATCCATTGTATATCTGTATCAGTATAATAATGTATTCTATCCATTACCTGGTATCCCATAACACAAGCCTTACAGTGCTTACTTTGTGGCTAGACTAATTGGTGTGAGTGGTAGAAATAATTACCTATTTATACTGTCTTACTGCAGGTTGCAAAAACACGTGTATATTGCTGCAATTTTAAGTACCTATTAAATATACTAAAAGTTTATAACTGCTGTATATCTATCGTCGCGTTTGAACTTTATTATTGAACTTTATCACGATTTAACATCAGGTGGGGTAGAGTCATTTGTCTACCTAGCTAGATAAGAAAAGATTAGGAAAACCTGGCCATAGAGATGCCGCAGAGTAGGTTGGACTCTATAGTTATTAAGGTGAGTAAGGTTCCCGGGCTTTATTGGTCAGGGTAGGCAACGGTGCGAATGATATTTTTGGTATCGCAATCGTCTATACTCTATAGGCTATGGTGACCACTTACCATTAGGCGCATCATACGATTGTTTGCCACCCTTTTAATATAAAATGTAATAATTTCAAAAATCGGTTAACGGAATGGCTGTCTGTTTTATTAACGACTTATTTGCTTTTGTTTCAGATGGACCTTACACGTTGGAAAAAATTTGCTTAGCCGCATCGACCAAAGTGGATGACTTCAAATTTTACTAGCATGTTTAGTGATCGGACATTATGTAATATTGTTTCAAATTCGAACTTTATTTATTTCACCGCGCGTTTTTTATTCTCGCCTATTATATTGCGTGGCCAGAATTACAGATAGTATGTATCAGAAAACACAACAGAAAATCCGCTTCGCATCACATTTAATTTGCATTAACTCACAAATTATTATGCCGCGCGATTTTTTTACTACGCGTGCTCTTACAATGATTCAATATGAAGCAGAATTACAAGAAAATAGGAAAAAATATAAACTACTTATTGCTCGGCAACAAAAGGATCGTCCATGGTCAGGAACTATGGATATAGGTTTCATCACAAGAATTAAAACGCGCTGTGAAATGTCGCAATGCGGAGAGGCCCTAACTGATTAGCTTAAGAGCCAGTGGACGGCTACCTGTATGGTATTTGACCAGACCCGGGGTTTTGTACAGTGAGGTCATACCATATACCTACCATATATGAGATGGGGGTTCACTAAGCCCCACCTGGTGGACGCGGCGCGCGCTCAGGTAAGACCGGTATCGATTTTTGGCGAATTTGAAATGCATTTGACCACGTCTGCCGTTTTGATATTTGAAAATATATTATTACTAGAGGTCGCCCGCGACTTCGTCTGCGTTAACTTAGTTTCTTTGTAAATCCCTCTGGAACCTAACATTTTTTCGGGATAAAAGTAGCCTATGTGTTAATCTAGGGTGTCAGCTAACTCCATACAAAATTTTATTAAAATCGCTCCAGCCGTTTAGACGTGAAGAAGTAACAAACATACACACTCACATACTCACAAACTTTCGCCTTTATAACATTAGTGTGATTATCATCTAAAAATAACAATGGCAGACCATTATCGCGCATTTAGCATAGTGGCAGACAGTTTTGAAAGTGTTGAAAAAATTAAATTTTGAAATTAATTGACCAGATCTGCCATTGATATATTTTATTTATTAGGGTCTTAAAAACTAATATTCATCACGGCAGACGGCTTCATTGCGTACACACTTCAGCAGACAATAAAATCTTAGCTACTATCCGGTCATATGTATAATATATACATATATATAAAGTTCCCAATTTTCCATCAATATGATTTACTTTATTACTGCATCCATAAAAAAATAAAATTTAATTTTGTAAATTATGTACTAAAGCTGATGACTTTGATGACAAGAAAGTGAATATATTTCGGAAGAATCTCAAATATTAAGGTATGTTGCAGATAACAAATAATCATTCAAATATTCATTTAATTTTCTTCTTTTTATTTATTTAAGACAAAATTTGAAAAAAAATATAAATCGTGCATGCTTTACAATTTTTTTTTTCCTACTAATTTCAATCTTCATTTATCGTCATCGGAGTCATGTCTGTCGTGGTGTAACTCGTCTTCACCGTCCGTAGAATCGGAATCTGTGAAAATAAGACATTAATTATAAAATAAAAATAATTGGAAAAGTGATCCGAACATATTCGATAAAAATTAATTATTATGAACTAACCAGGGACTTCGGTGATTAAGTCACTCACAGAAGTTGGGAGTTCACCTTCGAACCATTTGAATACAAATTTGTCGTCCTGCTTAATCCAACTCTAATGGATCCAATGTGGTAGGCTACTTCTTATAAGCATTTTTTTTAACTTTTACTATTTATAATATATAATATTACTATATCCCTCCACATAACTGAAGGCGCTCTCAGGTATAAAACCCGATTTATTTGAATGCTGTAAATGTATCTATAAAAGAAAATACTATAGGCTAGAATGAGTACAATACTAATCCATAGAGGAAAAAAAGAAAGATAGCTATAAACAGTCTATGCATACATCTGACCGGATAGTAGTTAAGATTTTGTTGTCTGCTGAAGTGTGTACGCAATGAAGCCGTCTGCCGTGATGAATATAAGTTTTTTAAACCCTAATAAATAAAATATATCAATGGCAGATCTGGTCAATTAATTTCAAAATTTAACTTTTTTCAACACTTTTAAAACTGTCTGCCACTATGCTAAACGCGCGATAATGGTTTGTCATTGTTATTTTTAGATAATAATAATAATATATTTTCAAATATCAAAACGGCAGACGTGGTCAAATGCATTTCAAATTCGCCAAAAATCGATACCCGTCTTACCTGAGCGCGCGCCGCGTCCACCAGTTGGGGCTTAGTGAACCCCCATCTCATATATGGTAGGTATAGGGGCCTCACTGTACAAAACCCCAGGTCTGGTCAAATACATACACAGGTAGCCGTCCACTGGCTCTTAAGCTAGATGCTTCGTCCATCAAAATGGTTTCATTTCTAGACTGATTCGAGATGTTATAAGACATAATTCACTATTGATTTAAAACGAATATAATAATAATAACATATTATGTCAATATATGAATAGACCGTTCATTTCATGTTAAGAATTAATGTAATACATATTATTACATTTATGTTGTAACATACCTATCTATTGTATTGAAAATAGTTAAATAATTTAATTACGATTATATAAGCAGTTTGTTTCTAGTAATCAAATGTTCTCTTTTTTCCTCGATGTAATGTAATGTTAATGTTTTTATTTGAAAAGTTTCAGAAAACGGCATATTTGTAATTAGAATAAAATATTTTTTCTAATGCGCACATTACACAGAATTTTATTATTTTTTTCCAAAATCTCACAGATCCGCCTCCGCGAAGGAAGAGCTCCGTACCCACTACTAAAAACGTACAAAATAAATGTGTTCTAACCATAGATTTAGTAAGAGTGAGGAAAAGATATATCATGCCCAATCACAATCTCACCAGGTAAAAAATGACGCAACATGATGTAGGGTAAAGGCGGGATAGATGCGGGATAGCAGAACCATGCCAAGAACATACAAAAGAAAGGCAGCAGTTCGAGCTCGAGTATGTTCTTGGACTACAGAACAATTGCAGTCAGCTTTCGACGAAATGGATAGAAGTACCATGGGGATAAACGCAATATCCCGACAGTTTGGGATTCCATCAAGAACATTGCGAAGACGTTATGCTGCTCGAAATACAACTAAGCAGACACTGGGTATGTATTAAAGGTTGTAATTGTATACAGGATTTCAAAAACTTTTATTCAACTAATTGCTATAAGTTTCCAATACCTAGATTTATTAACGTAGTTTTTTTTTTGTAGGAAAACATCCTATCTTGGATTTTGACAACGAAAAAAGGCTAGTAAAGCACATTCTAAAGCTTGGGCATGCAGGATTTCCCCCAAATAGACAATCCATACGTATGTTAGCTTACCAATTTGCTGAAAAGTTAGAGCTAAAACATAATTTTGACCACGAAAACGAAATGGCTGGAGCTGCATGGTTTAAAAGTTTTATTGAACGAAATCCAGAGCTTTCTATTAGACAAGCTGAAGGTTTATCTGTGGCTAGAGCCAAGGGCCTGAGTAGAGAAGAAGTAAATAACTTCTATGATCTTTTAATCAAAGTCTTGACTGAAAATGATCTGTTAGATAAACCGGAAAGATTATACAATATGGATGAATCCGGAATCCAATTGAATAATAAACCTGGAAAAGTCATAGCTAAAAAAGGTGCCAAAGTCGTCAATTCAGTCACATCTGCCGAGAGAGGTGAAACAATGACAATCGTTGGCTGTTGCAATGCAATTGGTAATTTTCTTCCACCAGTTCTTATAATAAAAGGTGTTAATAAGAAACCTGAATTTCAAGATGGACTTCCAATGGGCTCAACAGTATATATGAATAAACAATCGGCATATATAAATGCTTTGCTTTTCGATAAATGGCTAACAGAACATTTCATCCCTCTGAAGCCCCATGGTAAAGTTTTGCTTATTTTAGACGGTCACTCATTACACTCAAGTGCACCAAATATGCTGCAAGCTGCTGCAGATAACGAAATAATTTTATTGTGTTTACCTAGTCACACAACTTCAGCTTTACAACCTTTAGACAGATCAGTATTTGGGCCATTTAAAACCTACTTCAACCAAGAAACTAATCAATTTATGCGCCTTAATCCAAATAAAAAGATCAGCCGTTACAACGCAGGTAAGCTTATACGCAATGCTTGGATTCGCGCTGCCACTCCTGCAAATGCTCTTGCTGGATTTAGAGGTAGCGGTATTTATCCAGTTGACCGAAATGCTTTGCCAGATACTACATTTCTGATATCCGATGCTGTATTGGATAGCGAAAATCCTGGCACTTCTCGTGACAGACTTCTACTTCTGTAGTTTTTCATATAGAGCTGGACAATCAAAACGAAAATATTTCTGAATATGAACAAAATAGGACGACACCAAATCTGATGCAGATTCAAATTGACAAAGAATCTCCTAGTCTCTTGATAGATCCCGATATTTTAGAAGATATTAGTATTTTTGACATTGGTGATTCTACAATTGCAGAGATTTTAGGCAGTAATATAGAATCAGAAACACCTTCAAAAATTCTAATAGAAGCATCACCTATACCAAAAATTCCTTTGGCCATGTCTAAGAGGGCGAAACAGTCAGCAGATATTTCGAATTCAAACGAGAATATAAAACACAAAAAATATATGGCTGAAAGAAAGAAAAAACAAATAAAAACTAAGTTAGACAAGAAAAACAAGACTGAACCTACCAAAGCAATAAGAGAACTTAATAAAACAAAGAAAGGAACCAGCAACAAAGAACGAAAACAAAAAAAACAAAAACATTGTTTTAGTGACAACGATGTTGATGACTTATGTGATGGTTTATGTGATAAAGAAAATGATAATTATTTAAAAGTTAACAAGAGTCGCAAAAAACTAAAACGGCGAATTATTTACAGTTCAAACAGTGAAGATGAAGACAATTCACCTCACTATAAGATTAAGGGAAAGAAAACTAAAGGTTTGCCGGTAAAGAGCACTAAAAGAGATGAACAGGATAAGCCTAAAGATACGAATAAAGATAACTGCGTAGAATGTTTTGAAAACTATAAACAAACGAAGTCCAAATCCGACTGGATTCAATGTGTACAGTGTCAGAACTGGCTACATGAAACCTTTTCACTTTCACACTTTTCAAAAATTATTACTCAAGATGTGGAAAACTAAAAGCACTATCCGACTAAGCATCATTTAAGTAGGATTACAAAATGAAGATCTTTATTGTGTTGTTTTAATTTAAGAAAACATAATGACTTTTATGATTACCTATGCATGTTGAAACTTATAGGTAAACCGCTTCATTGAGAATTCGCCTGCGGGGCACAGGGGAGCGGTCTACCTATAATAACTAATTAATATTTTATAAGAAAAAATTATAATTTTTATTTCAGTATGGTTATTTATTTGATCTCAATTTATGTAGAATTAAGTATATGCTAACGATGAAAATTAAAAAAAAAAACTGCAAAATGCTTTTCATTATTAGGCCCATGTTTCTTGGAAACAACTTCTGTTAAGGTTAATACCTTAATTGTTTCAATAAAGATCTTCACTTGTTAACTTTTAAATAGAAAGCTAATGCTTTCTACTGCTAAAACACCAATTGTCCTCAAAACCTCATAAAAGTTTGGTCGAGTATTTTAATTATACAGTATGAAGGGCGTCTATCCACAAAACAAGAGTTCCACAAAAACCAAAAATTTGCAAAATCTGTAATTTGTAGGGCCAAAAATACAAATCACAGTTAAACAGAAAGGATTAAACTACTCAAATTCATAGACATTATTGATATAAAAATGTTTTTTTTTAATTAGGCGGATATTTCAAATAGTGTGGCATCTATCCCGCCTTTACCCTATGTATAACAAGCAGCTGCCCGCGACTACGTCCACATTAACTTTGTTTTTTTAGAATCCCATACGAACCTACCACTTTTCCGAGATAAAAGTCTCACTCCAGGTCATAAGCTATATCCGTACCATATTACATCCAGAATTCGTTCCGTGTTTTTTGCGTGATTGAGCAACAAACATACAAATTTTCACATTATAAATGTGAACATTAGTAAGATGATGGTGTTGTAAAATAGTTTAGTAGTTTAAGGATTACAGGCTCTATAATATCTACTAAATATCACTAATGGTTTCCTCTTTTGCAAGTTCCTTTGTGATCGTGATGTCTTTTCGTTCAGTGTATATACTATTTTCCCCCTATTCTTTTCTCAATCTGGAGTGTGGAGAAATGGTTCCGAATAAACCGAAAATTGTGTGAGTATGGAGAAATAGTTCCGAATAAACCGAAAATTGACCTAATAATATCACCGCATTACATTTTTGCAGTTTAAGACATTTTGTCACACATTAGGATTTTTTACCTAAAAATTGCTGATATTTTTTCCACGCTCTTATGTTCATTGATCCGATGTTTTAATGGTCATTAATTTTTATCAGAGCATGTTTTAAGTTAAAGTTTCACGAAGAAAATATTTGAAAAAAAATCTGGTACAAAAAAATGCCTTGAATGACGTTCTTACAAATGGCTCTTGTCTCTTTCTATAGGAAGCGAGAAACAAAATAAGTTGACCATGTTTGAACTTATTTACAGGGCATAATAGTGGGCAAGCAAAACGAATACTAACCGAATGCGGGTGTACTCGACTCCGTTCATTAACACCAATGACGTATAATATATAGACAGGTTATACGCCAACATAATTCATTTTAACAAGGCACAAGTAGATCCCGTCCCAACTTCCCTTGGCAACAGCCGCTAATAGAGCGCATTAAAGTAATCTCTCACTCTCATGCATAAAGCAGATTACATCTTGCTCTTTAGCTTCCACGTGTCAACGGTGTTAGCAGCTGTCAAAACAAGTAATCACTAAATATTCATTTCTTTAAAACTATATTGACGAATGTAATGACACCTTTTTCTTGACTCTAATAGTTCCCGTGTAATTCGTGTAATCAAAAAACACATATACGGCTTTCAATCCGGGAAAACCTAAAATATTTACACGTTGAAGCGAAAAGCAGACGCAGCGAGAGAGCGTGCCCGAATGAATGCAAATCGGGCAATTACCTGACTTTCGTATTGCCAAATTAGAAGCGTGTATATGACGTATGTATAACTATAAAACATCATAGATTTATTCTTAGTCGTTTACCGTTTAATTCCATTGGCACTCGTATTCAGGCTAACGAACAAGTGTAATCGCGCCATTAGGGATGAGAGGAATATATATATTTTTGAGAATAATTTTTATTATTTTTAAAGCATGTAACTGTTTGATGTTTTAAATCTAAAGAAAACATAACTAGTTTCTAGTTCTTCTTTCAAATGTTTAATACTTGTAAAAGTATTCATTTGACATTGTGGGTTTACCTATAATGCGAAAAGATGGCGCTGCCTTGCAGCTTTTAGAATAGCTAGAAAGAATTTCGACGAGGTCCGTGAGGGCCGCGGTAGCATAATTGGTCAGTGCATTCGCCCGGATTGCGAAGGGTGCGGGTTCGAGTCCCGTCTGCTGCCTGGTCCGCGTGAAATTTTTTCTAGTTATGTTTTCTTTATTTTTGAGAAGTTTTGAATATTTATGTCGCCTTAAAATAAAATTAGTCAAAAAAATCATAAATTACTTATTGCTATGCTTTATTTTTGCCCATCAATCTCATTATTTGTGACTCTTTCAATGGCAAGTTTACATAAGGTGTAAGAAGGATAGAAATATGAAATGAGAGGGATATAAAACATTTTTAGGGTCAAATATATATATATATAACGGTTCATAGTTATAAGACCCCTTTTGTAAAGAGATCGTCATTAAACGTTAATAAATTATCTATTTGGATTATATAACACAATAACAAATAAAATGCCTTATACATTTGCTTACCACAGACGACAGTTAAGGTTAAGTTACAATTATATAAAAATAGACTGTTTTGCATATTACTATGTATTGAGGTGATCATTTATTATAATAAATGAAAAACTTATTGTATTTTTAAATGGCAAGTAATAAACGTAGACCGTTAGCAACATGTGCAGTCTTTAATTTTTAATAATAACTTAAATATGTTATAATATTTTTTCATTATTTTGGTAGCACTAAATTTTTGGGAGCTTGATGAAGCACGCGGTGAGCGCGATCGGTCAGCGAAAGTTAATCAACTTTTGGCAATGACCGGCTATCGGATGGGTGACCAAAACTTTATTATATCGCGCTTCTCTGTGCTTCGAACGGCAATTTAAACAATAGTTGCTAGCACGCACCAATCTTATCAGGGACCGCGTGGTGGATCATGGCCAATAGGTAGATCGCTTAACTGAGTCCTCGCCTGCAGGGTAAAGGGTGTGGGGGAGGACAAGAACGGGGACCGTGAGAGGTGCGGGCGGCGGGCGCTTTTAATTTTGATGAGAATGTACCTGCCACCCGCACCTCTCACGATCCCCATTCTCTTTTTCTCGATACCCCGCAGGCGAGGACTCAGTTAAGCGGTCTACCTTTGATCTGCCTATTTGCTTTATATGGTTTTAAATCTTCATGGTCACTAACATTATAGCTGTTAACGCGATTGTTACCATGTACCTTGTTTTTTATGAGTCTCCAATATTTCGGCACTGTTGCAAGCGCCATGATTATGGAGTAACTCCATTACTCCGTGAGGTACATGTTAGGTACATGGTAACAATCCCGTTAATAGCTATAATCGCTACTTGCTTGTCTGAATGTGTGTGTATCCATTCATTTGGATTTTGTCATTTATCTTAAGTGATGGTCGGTTTTCCGCGAAAAGAATCAGAAATGAGGAAATCCGTAGGAGAACCAAAGAAATCGATATCGCTTTAAGGATTGCTCTGATCTGAATGACGTACCGGATGACACACAGTAGGTGGCTTACCCACGAGGTCGACTGACGATCTTATGAAGATCGCGGGAAGCCGCTGGATGCGCGTGGCACTAGACCAATTGATGTAGAGATCCTTGGGGGAAGCCTATGGTCAGTAGGGGGCCGGGGGCGTCATACGGCTGATATGTATGATAAAGATTTATCTTAACAATTGTTTGAATTTATTAAGTCTATGTTCTGTAAATACACACATCAAAAGTGTCTAGGGATCAAGCATTTTTATGCGGATTTCTTGAGATTGAGATGTGGCTTTGTAATAAATTTATGATTTTATAAATTTATATGGATCCTTTTTGGTGCATTTCATAATTTGAATCAGGAACTGTGAATCAAATTCGAGTAAAAGATGAAAATCAGCTGTCAATATTTTCCCTATAAAAACATACAACGCATTGAAGACATTATTAGTGCTACTGTTTCCCTACTACTGATTAAAACCAACGTTATTATGGAGCGGCGACGTCATTTAAGCAGGGAAGAAATGCTCAGAGCCGTGGGAATGATAGAAGCTGGTTCCCGGCAACGTACTGTGGCTTTAGCTCTGAATACAAGTCAGAGTGTTATCAGTCGACTTTGGACACGATACCGAAGCACTGGTACCGTGGCTGAGCGCCATGGAGGACGGTATCGCTGCACCACACGGAGACAAGACCGATACATTCAAATCTTAACTCGAAGAGCTCCAACAATAACCGCCATGATGTTAGCCGTGAGGCTTCATCACTCTTCAGGGAACTTAATTAGCGACCAAACAGTCAGAAACCGCTTGCATGAAGTGAACCTTCATTCCCGAAGACCGCTACGGGTACCACCTATAGCAATGCACAATCGTAGGATTCGATATCAATGGGCTCTTGAACACAGAAATTGGGCAGAAGAACAATGGCGTTTCGTGTGCTTTTCTGATGAGTCTCGTTTTGGTATGAGACCGGATACAAGACGTATACGACACTGGAGAACCCCTGGACGCCAACAGCGATTAAAATCCTGCCAGGAAGTCCATCCTTATAGTGGTGGAACCATCATGGTATGGGCGGGTATTTGGATCGGCGGAAGAACTGAGTTGATTTGGATCAGAGGCAACCTCAACGCTCAAATTTATGCTGAGACGATTGTATCAGACGTCATCGTTCCTCTACAAGTGCAAATCGGTCCCTTATTTCAGTTAATGCATGATAATGCACGACCGCACACCGCAAGAGTTGTAAGACAGACTCTCGCCGCAGCTAACATCAATGTCCTGCCCTGGCCTGCTCAGTCGCCAGACTTGAACCCGATTGAGCATGCATGGGATATGCTACAGAGAAGAGCTCTGCCGAATATGGAGGGTATCCAGTCGCAAGAAGACCTTTTTTTGTTGTTGCAACGAACATGGGCGGCCATTCCACAGCGTGATTTGGATGAACTCATTTTGAGTATGCCAAACCGATGTTCTTGTGTTGTTAGTGTTCGCGGTAGAAATACGGATTATTAATTGTTTAAGTTACCCAATAAAATTTTAGAGAAAACTGTTATTTCAGTCTTTTTTTCGAACTTTTGTGTTAGTGGTTCAAATGTCAAAAATCCCTTTATTAGGAAAATGGCAAATTTCTTTATTAATGCAAAGGTGACTTGGTTTATCGTTACTGTGACAAACGAAAACACTTTATTTGATGAATCCTTAAAGAAAATTTTAATTAATATCAATCAGGAGAAAAGTTATTGCAAAAATATATGTTGATCCCTAGACACTTTTGATGTGTGTAGTTAGTGCGATATTACTCAGTCTAATAATGGTATGATACTACTCGGCAGATAGCTTTGTTAAAATATTACGTTGCGTTAAACTTCTGAAGATACACCTTGTATCTTCAAAACATTTAAAAAAATCTATTAAGCGATAAAATAATACCTAGTATTATTCGGCTACCAAAACGATCGAAATTAAGGGACTTTAAGGCATACAACAACCATAATAATATTAAAGAAATCAAGTGAACGAATCACAAGATTATAAGATTAATCATTTTTCTTTTTGCTGAACATACAGAAATACCTTTGAAATCATTATACAAAATTGCATAAGTCGTATGACGCATTTTATGCCTTTCTGTGCTAATTGTACCTAATATTGCACCAGCTGAATAGTTTTATTCTAACATAACACTTTCAGTTTTTACTTCAGTTGCATTAGTCATGGATCGAATAAGTTTTCGTATCAATTCTAAAACGTTTGCAGGTAATCTATTAATTTATACTAACTTCCTTTCCTAGTGTTTTGATATTTTTAATATAAATGTAGAGTTAATTTTTTAAAACCTTTTATATGTTTTTTCTCTAAAGTTTATCCTGGCTAGGCTGTATGAATATATTTTCAGTGTTCCGTACATCAAAATAAGACATTTTTTTTGCCCATATGTCCATCTGTCTGTCAAGACCCTTTATCTCGGGAACGCGTGGAGGTATCTTATTGAAATTTAGACTATATGCTCAAGTCTGCAGTCCCGTGAATCTGTGAAAAAACGAACTTCCAAGTTAATGCAAAAAAAGAAACGGTACCTCCAAATTTGTTCGGTATCCTCGGCGGGCGAGCCCGACTCGCACTTGTCCGGTGTTTTTGAAAAGACATATACAGATATACATACAGTACATGGCTTTCAGTTAACTTAACCAATTATCGAAGTGTTTTAATTCGAACAACACAAAACTATTATTATCCACTTGTCAATGTAAATAGGATAGGAATCTCTTCCGCATTCAAATGCACATTCAAAACAGAAACAGTCGTGATTTTTTCACCATTGAGATGGAAAATGATATATATGATGGCAAGCGATTAACGCAGTTCAGGGTTAAAAATAAATTTTGGAGTTTGACTATGTGTCCGGGGCTCAACGAGGTGGGGAATAGGGTCAGGGTAGGCAATGGCTAAGGTGGTCACATACCATCAAGCAAGCTACATAATAGTTTGCCATTCTTTTAGAATAAAAATATACTGCACTTATACTTTATTTTCAGCATTTAACTGCTAGATGATCAAATCAAAAATAAATTAAATAGAAAAAAGAAAAAAAAACGTACAAAAATTTCCACACTGTGTACGGTACATACGCTCGGATAGCGGAGTGCGGGTTCGAGGCCCCAAATTTTCTTTAGATAAAAATAACTTTCGCAATCTCAGACCTTTTTAATCTATTCTACTTCTTAAATTCTTAATATGATTTTAGTTGGTAGCGATGTGAATGCAGATGTGACCCTCGTTGATTTCATAAGAAAAAGGGCAGGACTAAAAGGCACCAAGTATATGTGCAGGGAAGGAGGTTGCGGTGCTTGCATCGTAAATGTTACAATAGATGGTGGCACTCCGATGGCAGTGAATTCTGTAAGTATCAACTCTATTTTTAAGGTTTACCTTAGGCTACGCATACATATCAATATCAGGACCCAATATCAGCCTGCGGGGCACAGGCCTTCCCTATGGCAGGAATGGAGAGATTGGGACTTGAATTACCACGAGTCACTGATGCTGATTTGTTAGTGCTTTTGAGTGCAAATGCGAACGGCTCTGGGACGATTTAATTCTACTATAATTTTTTATTACTTATTATATATTTTTCTTACTATAACAATGCCACCCATAAGTCACGTATGGACAGTGCGTTCCAGGACACTACGCATCCATACTTGTGGCTACGCGTTTACTCTTGGGCCTTGAGGAAAGCGTGCCGCGCGAGATGACTTGCTGCGTTACCGTCTGTTGGTTTTTGGTCTCTCATCTAACGAAACCGACACACTGGGTTATGCTGTATTTGGGTGGCAACTGATACATGAACAATTTATGTTCAGCGTGTTTCAATAATAAATAATAATGACTGGCGGGGCACACGTAGTGGATCTCTCGGCCTCACGTCTAGTTTAGCGACGGCCTGTACTACACGCGAATTTATTGGCTTATTAACGCGTGGCTAACTTGTTCCGGCTGCGTGTGGCAAAGGAACGCGCTGTCTGTACTCAACTTGGACAATATCTTGGATCCGAACAAGTAACTTTTGCAAACCGGGCGAATAAGATGATGAATTTGATCAGCCATAATTATTTCAGTGCATGGTCTCAGTATTGTCATGCTTAAACTGGGATGTTACCACAATCGAAGGAATAGGAAACAAGAAGGAAGGTTACCATCCTATTCAGACTGCCTTAGCGGAAAACAATGGTAGTCAGTGCGGTTATTGTTCTCCGGGATGGGTGATGGCTATGTATAGGTATTTATTACTATTAACAAAAATATAGTAAATTAATAACAATACGAAGTTCTTCAAACTTTGATGATTCTTATTTATGTGACTACAATCGTAACGTAATTACATAGATCATTTTGATAAAAAATGATAGAATTTTAAAATTTGTTTGATTTGCTATAGGTAGTTATTTTATGTAACGTCTTTCCAAAATTACAATGTGAATTTCTTTCTAGCTTAAAGGAAAGCAAGGAGAATCTCAGTATGCTAGAAATAGAAAAGTCGTTTGCTAGTAATGTCTGCCGATGTACTGGTTATCGTCCAATCTTGGAAGCTTTTAAAACATTCGGTAGTGATGCATGCAAATTTCAAGACATTGATATTGAAGACGTCGCAAATTGTAAGGAGATGAAAATTTCTTGTAATTTAAGTAGCTGCAGTAATAATGATTGGTGTATCGTGACGAAGAAAGATATCGACTCTCAGACCAAAAAAATTGTATTAGATGATGGAAAAGTTTGGTTTAGAGTGGAACAATTGAAAGATGTCTTTGATATTTTTAAAACACAAGGCGTTGATTCTTATATGTTAGTAGCAGGAAATACAGCCAAAGGTAAAATATAATTATAATAATATATTATTATGTCGTTATCATTGTTTTGGAGCTCGATGGCGCAAGTGGTTAGCGCGTTCGGCTGCGATCGTTGAACTTAAGCAACTTTCGCAGTGGTCGGTCATTGGATGGGTGACCAAAAATTATTATCTCAAACTCCAGTTAAGCCGTTGGTCCCAGCTTCATCTGCAGTCGTTAGCACCCACCAATCCGCACTGGGCCCACGTGGTGGGTCATGGCCCAATCTCCCTATTCCATCCATAGGGAAGGCCTGTGCCCCAGAAGTGGGGACATTAATAGGCTGATGATGCTCATTGTTTTCTTTTAGTTTAATAATCATATCCTAGTTGATATTTAACTTAAACAAGCTTTAAATATATTTTCAGGCGCATACCCTATTGAAGAATATCCCCGTTGTCTAATAGATATAAATGGTATCTCAGAATTGAAAAAATGCGTAGTCGATCAAAATTTATTCATTGGCGCTGGAACAACTCTTACTGAATTAAAAAATATTTTTAAATTAAAGTCGCAACAAGATGACTTTAGTTACTTAAAAGTATTGAACGACCACTTAAATTTAGTAGCCAATATACCCATAAAAAATGTAAGTACATATCTATTATTTTATTTTATAAGAAAACAAAAAGTGATGATATGAATATTTATAATTTATAGATTTATAGACGGCATCCAAGTATTTAATTATGATTATTATTTAAACGGTTATCAAAGTATTGGTATCTTTGCTAGCAAAAATGTGTAATCGGTTAGCTAAAATAGGTATTTGAGCAGCAACTTATAGTCAGCAAATATTTCTAAATTAGTCTGCAATTTATATCATACTGAACAGAAGTATTTTTTTGTACAGTCGAATAAATATAAAAGTTGCAAAAAGTTGCAATATTTAATCATAATTTGGTAAGCAAAATTTTAAATTTTGTGCCGCTAATATAATTCTTGCTATAGGTACTAAATGTTAAAGGTACTTGTCATGCACAAAATGGGCGCAACCCTTGCTAAATATATTTATTAGTTTATCGTCACTACATAGTATGTATAAAGCAAAGTCGCTTCTCGCTGTTTGTCTGTCCCTATGTACGCTTAGATAGTTTTTTTTTAATAGATGCAATGATTTAAGAGTAAGGTTTATATGTATAATATAGTAGACAAAATATGTATAATATAGTAGAGAAAAAGCCACTGTCATTATGCTAAGGAAGCCAGGAAAGGACAACTATCAGGAGCCCAAATCTTATAGACCAATCGGGCTGCTGCCAGTCTTAGGCAAAATACTTGAAAAGATGTTGATACGTCGAATTAATTGGCACATACTACCGAAATTAAATCCGAGGCAATACGGTTTTGTGCCACAACGCAGTACGGAGGACTCCCTCTATGACATGATCCGGCGTATCAGGCACAATTTGTAAGAGAAGAGAATTGTTGCTCTGATATCGCTGGTATGTCCAGCCAGAAGGGGCCTTCGACAACGCGTGGTTGCCACAAACCCGTTGCCAACTTAAAAACTTAAGCTGCCTTATAAACCTACGCAAGCTGGTAGATAGCTACCTCCAAGACAGCTTGAGGCGTGAGATCTTAATTTAAATTAGTTCGGTTAATACAAAACGAAGTAACTCGCTGGTCGATGACTGGTAAAAATATTTTATTTTGTGGGTCACAAGGTTGATTTCACATTTTCCTTTTTTCATTTTTATCGTTTTTTTCCAAGTATCAGATATAATTTATAAAAGTAACAAGAGTTGGTTTTGTAAGAAAAAAGGTCGTATGTGCGATATAACATTTTATTTGTTAACCTTATTCCTTTGTGAGATATTTGTTATTAAATTCAACTTAAACTGTTTTAAAACATTTATTTTTGTTCATTGGGAATCGAATGTAGCTGTATAAGTTTAAACAACGCAGACAGTATTTAGCTTTGATTTTGTATGAAAACCGTTATCTACAGAGAAGGAGAAGGAGAAGTTTCAGGATGTTGATAATGCTATATTTAACTCAATATAATTGAAATATAGATCGAAATTAATATACTAGTGAATTTTTTTTTTAAATCCGTCATTCGATCGATTTGGGCCTCTAACTCGCCTCTGACGTCATTACACCTATAGTCGAGATCGTCGCAACAGAGCGCTTGCGCTGCTTGTAGATATTTACGTTCAGCTGTTTGTTAATTATTTATAAGAAGTGTAATTTTTATTTTAACATAATGGAAGAAGATTTCGTAAAAGGACAAAGTGATATTTACCTAAAATTGATAATTTACACAAAAAAATGTTTATTAGGCGTTTTAACTGTCGTGCTTTGACACATAGGGACAATACAATACTTGTAAGCATATTTTTAGCCTCAGTCATTATTTTAATAAACAAAACACGATACGGGCGGCGCAAATAACAGCACGCCAATGAATTTATACATTCTAAGCTTAGTTTAAAACAGTTTTAGGCACGTATTATAGAAAGATTCTCAGTAATGAATCTAGTCTTGAGCATAGTTAGAAAGCGATGTCGCTCTATATAGCACATAGCGAAATATCTTTCTAACTGTACTCAAGTAAAGATCAACACTTAGTTGTCATTCTGTAATACGGGCCTTAATCTAAGATCCTAAGTGTATACGCGCCGCGTCGACTAGGTGAAGTGACGTTACAGGCTGGCCTGCCGCAAGAATGAAATTATTGTTACAGGCGCTACTGTAAAGTCCCATAACTTTTTCATTTGTTGAGATATTTTAATGATTCTTTCAAATTTTTGTTTCATTTAACGTTAATTTTTACAACTGATATATTAAAAATTTTGGAAACTTCTCCATTGATGGTGGAAGTTTTTTTTGTTATTAACATTTTAAAATGACTTACAATTAATTACTTCTATTTAATTATTATAATGATAGCTTTATCTTATGATATTTTGCTATCAAATTGCCAGTATTAAACTAGTTTCTTAAGATATATGTTCGAAATTAATAAAAAATCAAGTTTAGTATAAAATATGCCTAACAATTCAGTTCTTAAATAATAATTAAGTTTATTTTCTGTTTCAGATTGGTACTATTGGAGGCAATTTAATGATAAAACATCAGCATAATGACTTTCCATCAGACATATTTCTTTTGTTTGAGACAGTAGGTGCACTGTTAACCATAAGTAAGACTATATTTTTTATGATTTAATAATTTTTATCGCCCGTTTAAATCGCTAAAGGGACATAATTTTCTTTATTTATTTGATATACTATCGACAATTTCGCAAATTTCAATAAATGTTTTAGGATGCAGGTAGTGCTCGACAGTGTGAATTGCCATTGCAAGCATTTACAACATTGACAATATTTAGAAGTACTTACATTTGTAACAGTAGTAATAGTCGGGGAGCTACTGAACCCTTCGAGTAACGGTCTGTCCGTAAGGCTATAAATTCTAATGGTGATGAGTCACAACATGCTTAGTACGGTAAGCATCACCTGGCACTCCTCAGTCCTGCACGTCATCAAGTCCAATATTTTTGAAATGGTCAAAAAAATATTTTAAAAAAACTCGTTGCTGTAAGCTTGAAATTTTTATACAATTTAGTTTATTCATTTTTAAGTTTAAAAAATATTGCCAGGCGGTTACGATGAAAACAAGTACCCGCCAGGTGAACCGAAAGGTGTGTAATATATACATTAAAATAAACTTATTTCTGTAAAGTCTAAAGTAAGTAGGTAGAATGCCAGGCCCCCGGAGGCGAGGGCCGCTGGTCCCTCCGTGTCGGACGCTGAGCTTGATATGGTGAGGGACCGGCTCCGGAGCCGTAACAAGGCTCCGGGGCCGGATGGGGCCCCAGCCAAGGTGATGGCGATCGCCTTGGGCCCCCTGGGGGACCGATTCCGCGCGGTGCTGGATGTATGCATCGCGTCGGGTCGCTTCCCCAGGCGCTGGAGGGAGGGGCAGCTCTGCCTGCTCCGTAAATAGGGCCGCCCGGCGGACTCTCCGGCGGGCTATCGGCCGGTGGTGCTGCTCGATGAGTCCGGGAAGGCGTTTGAGAAAATCACCGCCTCCCGGATCATCGAGCACATAGAGGGCACGGGGCCGGGTCTGGCAGACTGCCAGTACGGCTTCCGCACCGGGCGGTCCACGATGGACGCGATAGGCCACCTCAAAAGGTGGACTGAGGTGGCCACAGCGCGGGGGGAGGTGGTGATCGCGGTGTCCCTGGACATCGCGAACGCGTTTAACACCATCCCCCACGAGTGCATAGAGGCGGCGCTCGAATTCCACCGAGTGCCCCTCTACCTCCGCGCCCTCGTACAGGACTACCTGCGGGACAGGTCAGTCCTCTACGAGGACGCGGAGGCGCGCGTCCAGTCGTGGACAGTGGCGGCGGGTGTGCCCCAAGGTTCCGTTTTAGGCCCTCTATTATGGAACCTGGGGTACAACTGGGTCCTGCGTGGCTCGCTCTTGCCGCGAATGGATGTCGTCTGCTTTGCGGACGACACCCTTGTCGCGGCGAGAGCGAAGGAGTGGGAGGAGGCGGTCCACCTTGCGTCGGTCGGCACCTCCATGGTCATCCGACGCATCCGCCTCCTGGGGCTGGAGGTGGCCCTCGATAAAACGAGGGCCATGGCGTTCCATGCCCCAAGATGTAGGACCCCACCGGGGCTCCGTGTCCGGGTTGAGGGGATCCAGGTTCATGTCGAGATGCACATGAAGTATCTTGGCCTGACCCTGGATCCCCGGTGGAGCTTCGAGGAGCATTTTAGGCTCCTCGCTCCCCGGCTGTGCGCCGCAGCAGCCGGACTCGGACGGCTCCTCCCCAATGTGGGAGGGCCGAGGGCGAAGTGCCGTCGGCTATATTACTCCGTGATAAAGTCGATGGCGCTGTACGGGGCCCCGGTCTGGGTGGAGTGCCTCTCGTCCCGCACGAGGGCCCTCCTGCAAAGACCGCAGAGGGTCATCGCGGCACGGGCCGTGCGGGCTTACCGCACGGTCAGCCACGGGGCTGCCTGCGTCCTAGCAGGCACGCTCCCGTGGGAGGTTGATGCCCTGGTACTGTCCCAGGTGCATCAACACCGGGTCGCGGCAAGAGAGCGGGGCGAGCGACCCGTTCTAGAGGAGACTGAACGGGTCCGCACCGAGGCGCAGAGGGAGGCTCTGCGCCGATGGGTGGAGGCACTCGCCAACCCAGCCGCTGGCCACCGGACGATCGAGGCGATTCGTCCGGTGTTGGAGGAGTGGGTAGGGCGCCAGCGGGGCACCCTCACCTACCGCCTGGTGCAGGTACTGACCGGACATGGATGCTTCGGTCACTACCTGCACCGAGTCGCCCGTCGGGAGGAGACGCCGCGGTGTCATCACTGCGCCTCTCCCGACGACACGGCCGAGCACACGTTGATCGTGTGTTCGGCCTGGCGAAATGAGCGCCGCGATCTGATCGCGGCGCTCGGCGGAGGAGGCCTCACGCTGCCAAGTATGGTAAGAGCTATGCTTGGTAGCGAGAGAGCCTGGAGGGCGGCCGCCTCCTTCTGCGAATCTGTGATGGCGCAGAAGGAGGCAGCGGAGAGGGAGCGGGAGGAGGACGCTCTAGCCCCCCCTCTCCAGCGTAGACGGGTGGGCCGAAGGAGGCAGGCAGCGGTGACTGCCGGTCTTCGACGGCCCTTAGGTGGTCTGGGCGCGGCCTGACCAGCCGCGCGTCCTAGGTACCGCTCCGGCATAGGCCACCACGTCTGGGGACTGCCTAGTACTCTAGCGCAGCCCCCCTGAGGCGCGTCGCCCAGTCCACTCGTTGGGCCGGGCCTGCCCGGGGGCGTCCCAGTGAAGTGGCGCACGCTAAGGTGCGTCGATCCTGAGACGCCCCCATATGGGCGTAGGAGGGTACCGGGGGGTTTTAGTGGAGTAGGATCAGTGTGGCCTTCCGCACTGGTCCTGCTTGAGTAGGGTTGGCACTGTTTCCCGTGCCGGCGAGTCCCACACACGCCGTGCGCCTAGTCAGCGTCACGGTATGGTGCGTAACTGCATTTCCCCTCGTCACAAAAAAAAAAAAAGGTAGAATGCCAGGCAGCTCTGGCTAGCATAAGTCCTTGCCAGGCGACGGGAAAGATGCTGCGCAGCAGTGCGAGTAAGAGCCGTAGTATGAAAACTCATATTAATGAGGCAAATTACATGATGGGAAAATAGAAGTTATGGCTAAAATATTTTTTATTATTATTTAAAGTCTTTAAATTAATCAATTATTCTATATCATCATCTGATATGTCATCCTTACTTTCTTCATTATCATAATATGAGTCTTTTAGGGGAAAGATGCTATGGAAGATGGCGTAACGTGAACTGGCGTAACGTGAACTCGGTGGTGCGATTGAGACAGTTTATCTAACTGGAAAATAGGTCATATACCTGGACAAAAAACGTTATCGATTACTACAAAAAATATTCAATTCAGAAGGCATTTGGAGCATTAGGAAATGCTGAACTAATAGAAAGAAAAGATGAGGGTTTTCCAATACTTGAAAAGTTTGTCTGTGAAATGTCCGGGATGAAATCTGCAAATTCTGTATGAAAAGTTTCTCGCCACATATAAAACGAATGGTGCTAAGGTGTTTATGAAAAAACTGATAAGTTATGATGCCTCTAATTTACCTCCATGCCAACGGGAATTGCAACAACAATTATAGCGATCTTTATATATTACAAATATCTGGCAAAATAGTCACTTAAAAGTGCCAACGATTCTTAAACTTGACGATAACGGATGGACTTCATCGATGGAAACTATGTTTTTAATTGGTTTGAGGGGAATACAGTTCCTTCTTCTATCTACGAAATATTATTACAACAGCCTACTGATACTGATGAGAATGAGTCAAGTGACGTTGAAGAACACATTAAAAGTAGTACACATTTTTTTTCATATAAATATATGAAATTTTATATAATTAAGCGCAAGATCAGAGATGTAATGTTATTATTATGTATTGAAACTTTGTTTCTTTTTAGATAATGAAATCAGTAACGAAGACTTATGATGACGAAGAAAGTAATGAGGACATATCAGATGATGATGTAGGTAGATTAATTGATTAATTTTAGAACTATATATAATAATAAAAAATATTTTACCCATAACTTCTATTTTCACATCATTTAATTTGCCTCAATAATATAAGTTTTTATACTACGACTCTTACTCGCACTGCCGCGCAGCATCTTTCCTCTCGCCTGGCAAGGACTTATGCTAGCCAGAACCGCCTGGTATTCTACCTACTCACTTTAAATCGCATAAAGAAACACATTTATAAATTTCAACTTTAAAGAAGAAAGTTTATTTTAATGTATATATTACACACCTTTCGGTTTACTTGGCGGGTACTTGTGCTCATCGTAAACGCCTGGCATTTTTTTTTAAACTTAAAAATGGATAAACTATATTGTATAAAAATTTCAAGCTTACAGCAACAAGTTTTTTTTAAATATTTTTTTGACAATTTCAAAAATATAGGACTTGATGACGTGCAGGGATTATAAGAATTTCTAGCCTTACAGACAGACCGTAACTCGGAGGGTTCAGTAGCTCTTGGTCTATAAATACTGTTCAGTTTAAACATTACCATACAAATAAGTTTTGAGGGCTTTGAGTGGAGCGTGAAAAATGTCAACATCATGGCATATCTCGTTATATGCATGTTTCAAAGGGACAATTAACAAATGATTTGATGGGTTGATCAGCTCAGATTCACAGTTCAAATTACACAAATTTTCACTGATAACTCGATAATTAGCTCTTTTAAAATTAAGAATAGGGCTTGATTTACTTACAGGACCCGAAACATCTTTAATATCAATATCCGCTATGAGAGCAGGTTGATGAGCATCAAAGCTATGCCCTGCGTAGTTTAAGAGAGGAGTTAACTATGGATCCATTAAAAATGGTTTATTATGCTCTAGTCGATCTCGTCTAAGATAAAGTATAAAATTCTGGGGAAATAGTTATGATTATAATCCTAAAAAAGCTTTTGTAATTCAAAAAAGGGTCATAAGAACAATGTTGCGCATAAACCAAACACAGTCGTGCCGAGATCATTTTAAAGAATTAAAGATATTAACAGCTCCCGTCTTTATATACCCCTAACAAAAAAAAGTGAGAACTTTAGTGTACATAAACACAAATATTTAGTATTTTAAGTGCTCAAATTATATTAAGCATTGTATTTAATACGTTTTGTCCGAATAAATTGAGAATTATTACTTCTCCGTAACACAGTTTTTAACTAGCACGGGAGGTAAATATGTAGCTAAGTGCTCATACTACGGAGGTTGTGGTGAATTTTGTAGTAGTTGATGCGGCAATGTAATCGTTCAGGAGCTTTACTCTCTTTCTCCGAAACGAAATTTCGGTAACGAACGAATTTTAAACGAAATTTCGCCATTGACTCTACTCTATTTCATTTTCGAACAGGCACATTAACTTCGGAACCATAAACAGTTTTCGTGAACGAATGGAATGAGTCATATTTGTGAATTCTTTGTATGTCTACTTTTAAGAAAGGTTTTTTTACTTGAAAACAATATAGGTCGTTTACGGCAATTTTTTTGATGACATTAGAAGAACCTTCTTTGACAGTGTTAGCCGACTAATTTGTAGAGTTGATACAATCTACTGTATGCCAACCTAAATTTGTCGTTTAATACTTTGAAGTATCGAAATTACAATAAATAATAAAAAAAATGGTTTATTTGTTAATTTTACATGCTAAAAATGTTTCTCGAGCTAAACAGCTATTATTAAAAATACTCTTGCAAGTATTTTAGGCTTAATTAAAACGAAAATCTCAAAACGAAAATGAAAAAGTAACACTTTTCATTTCGTCAATTTGAACTTAAAATTTCGAACAATTGTGTCAAATTCGACTTTTCCTTCGAAAGTTTTGTGAATTAGAGTAGGCTTGGAGAATTTAATTGTAAAACTATTTCGGACGAACGAATTTTCGAAATGAAAAGGAAACAGAGTAAGGAACGTGAACGTGAACGAAAATTTCGATCGAAATTTCGTTTTTCGTTAAAATAGGGTAGGCCTCTCTGAAAAGGCTACATCTGCTTTACGTCATTCGAATACCTAACCTGACAGGCCGGTGATTCGTCGTTCTTGCGTATTAAGATTCGCCCGTTCCGTATCCAAACATATTTATAGCCTTTTTCTTGTGCTATTTTTCTGGTTACCGAGCGCAGCTCTTTATAATGTTCAGAAACATAGGCAGCTATTTTCTCACAGCCGTTGCGTGGTTACATGGTGTTAAGCTTATTTTTAGGGTTACCCTTATTAAACTTTGATACCGCAGCTGTAATGTTATCTCCAGCGCAAGTATTTGTCAGTTTTACGATTATTGATCGTGGTCTATTGCTAGTGTTGTCAAGTTTTCTTACTCTGGTATATCGACATTTTAAATATTAATACACTAGCGAGTGGCTCACTTTGGATATCAAAAAAATAGAGTACACTTTGCGGCGCTCGTCCGCTAAAACTATTGACTTTATGAAAAAAAAGGTAGATACATATATTGTAGGCAATTGTCTCTAGTTTCATTTTGTATTAACTGTTTTTATCGTAAAATGAGTTGGAAAGGAGATATTGTCAGAAAACTGCTTTTAGGCGCCATTTTTGAAATATGGAGGCGCGAGCGGCAATAATACGAGGTGGCAAAGTCAAAATTCGGAAAGAAGACCTCAAAATTTATAAAATTACTAATTTTTGAAACTTTGGAAAAAAAATCCAGGGTACCACTATATTTCTCACCAAATGACTGTACTAATATAAAAGATTGACCATTAAGAGGCGATGTTATAAATTCCCAGTTGAAATGAAATTCCATGAATACAAAGCCTGACTCGGAGTGGAGACGACTTGTTAGGACTTTCCCACAAAAATTTCATAACATCGTTGATCAAGCTTCAAAACCCCAAGGAGCGCAAAGTTGCTTAAGGCAAAATACATATTAAGGCGGTAGCTCTTCAATTGAGTAAAAAGTAATCAATATATAATTTTTGAAAATGATTCAAGACAACATTTATTACATATAAAACTTGACCTACTTTATACTCGTTAATTGTACTTAACATTTCATAATTTATTGTGTTGAGTAATAAAAATAGATGCACAATAATATTTTACAGATTTCGATGAGACAACTAAGAAAACTGTGTCAATGCAACAATTCTTGCGGTTAAACATGAGGGGAAAAATTATTCTGGGTGCTATCTTGCCACCGCAGAATAATGACTACAAATGTGTGACATATAAAGTAAGATAACTTGATGCCATTTACTTCATATACATATCATCAAATCCCATTTGTGGCAATGCAATGGCAATGGCCATTTGTGGGTCGCAAATGCTATATCATGAAAGTCAAGTATTTTTTTAATTCAGCATTTTTTTTATGTTGTAGATAATGCCAAAGGCACAAAATGCACATGCCATAGTGAATGCTGGTTTTCTATTCAAATATAACACTAAAGATAATGTAGTTAGATCAGCAAGAATTGTATATGGTGGACTTTCACCATATTTTATAAGATCAAATTCTGCAGAAAAATTTTTGATGGGAAAAATATTATTTCAAAATCAAACCCTTCAATCAGTCATAGGCATTTTAGATAAAGAGCTTATAGTCACCGAAGATCTACCTCAACCGCCTTCATCGTATCGGAAACAGTTGGCTATATCTTTATTTTATAAGGTATGGTAATTATTGGAATTTTGTTTGAAATGAAAGTAAAAGAAAGATAAGAATAACATAAGATATAAAACTAGTTTTTACGGGTTAATGCACGAAACTTTATTTATTTATTGACGTTTCGCAGCCTTTTCAGGTCTGCATCGTCAGAATAATGATTTAAATGAATGAATTTTAAATAAAAAATCATTATTCTGACGATGCAGACCTGAAAAGGCTGCGAAACGTCAATAAATAAATAAAGTTTCGTGCATTAACCCGTAAAAACTAGTTTTATTTAATGAGTGATGTGCGTGAAAACCTAAGAAACAAATAACATAAGATGTTTGTCACTTCTAAATTACCTTATTAAAGATTGAAGCCTTAATCAACTTTCAATTACAGAGTTTACTGTCTTTATGCCCAACATCCTATATCAATCCGCGGTTTCGTTCAGCAGCAATCCGGCTAAACGAGATGCGGCCTTTGTCAACTGGCCACCAGGAATACACGACTTTCCCTTCTCTGTACCCTTTGAATCAACCATTACCAAAAATTGAGGCATTGGTAAGTTTATTACTCAAATACGTAATCATGACTTTGCTGCTTGATTGTTAAATCAAGCCTGATCACAGTACTGTTACTTTTAAAATTTTATGTTTGATCAAAGTTTCGATAAAATAATGTTACGCGTAAAATGACGTGCTATTTAGTAAAATATGAAATCGATATTGAACTCGACACCTATTTACATTTTAAAGGCTCAATGCGCAGGAGAAGCCATGTATACAGACGATGGTCCAGAGCTTGCAAATGAAGTACATGCAGCATTTGTACTCAGTACTATAGCCAAGGGAAAAATAAACTCCATCGACAGTTCAAAAGCTTTGGTAAGCATTGATTGATTTTACATTAAAACTAAAATTGTTTAAGTACACTGTAGGCTACTTTGAGGTGTGAATACATCCTCAAACTATATTACCACTATACACATAAAATATAATTTAAATATATTCAAAATAATAAAATACAAAGTAACTTATATTTAAAACCGTAATACAAACTATCTTACACTATATATTTACATCTTATATCTATCAATTATTAATAACTTATATAGAATTTATAATAAGTACTAATAAGTAGAGGAGCTCGATGGCGTAGAGGAGCTCGATGGCGCAACTGGTTAGCGCGTTCGGCTGCGATCGTTGAAGTTAAGCATCTTTCGCAGTGGTCGGTCATTGGATGGGTGACCAAAAATTTACTATCTCGAGCTCCTCCGTGCTTCAGAAGGCACGTTAAGCCGTTGGTCCCGGTTGCATCTGCAGTCGTTAGCACCCACCAATCCGCACTGGGCCCGCGTGTTGGGTCATGGTCCAATCTCTCTATTCCATCCATAGGGAAGGCCTGTGCCGCAGCAGTGGGGACATTAATAGGCTGATGATGATGATGATGAATAAGTCCATCCATCCATCCATCAGCCTTTCTCCGTCCACTGCTGGACATAGGCCTCCCCCATAGAACGCCACAATGCGCGGTCCTGCGCTATCCGCATCCAGCGGCTCCCAGCACATTTGACGATGTCGTCAGTCCACCTTGTTGGGGGCCGCCCACGCTGCGTCGTCCGGTACGTGGTCGCCACTCGAGGACCTTTCTTACTCAACGGTTGTCAGATCCTCGAGCGATGTGGCCTGCCCATTGCCACTTCAGCGTGCTAACTCTTCGGGCTATGTCGTACACACCGGTCCTTCTACGGATCTCCGTATTTCGGATCTTATCAACTAGGGAAACACCGAGCATAGCCCTCTCCATAGCACGCTGCGCGACGCTGAGTTTTGTTATGAGGTCGACATTCAGAGACCACGTCTCAGTCCCATAAGTCATCACTGGCATCACACACTTGTCATAGGCCCTTCTTTTCAGGCACTGGGGAATTTTGGCCGTGAGGATGTGCCTAAGCTTCCCGAGTGTCCAGCGTATGTGGACTATGAGAAGGCCTTCGATTCGGTCGAGACTTGGCTGCAGTCCCTCCAGCGGTGCCATATTGACTTTCGATATATCGAAGTGTTGAAGTGTTTGTATAGAAACGCCATTATGTCAGTCCGAATCCAGGAGAGAAGTACGAAACCGATTCCATTGCAGAAGGGTGTCAGGCTGATTTCCCCGAAACTGTTCACCGCTGCATTGGAAGACGTCTTCAAGCTTCTGGATTGGACCGGACTTGGCATCAACATCAACGGCGAATACATCACTCACCTTCGATTTACAGACGACATCTTGGTTATGGCAGAATCCCTGGAGGACCTTGGCACAATGCTCAATGGCCTCAGCAGAGTTTCCCAACGAGTTGGTTTAAGGATGAACATGGATAAAACCAAGGTCATGTTCAATGTCCATGTCACTCCAGCACCAGTATCTGTTGGGAATGCGATTCTTGAAGTTGTCGATCATTACGTCTACCTAGGACAAACAGTCCAGTTGGGCAAATCCAACTTCGAGAAAGAGGTCAACCGACAAATCCAACTAGGATGGGCAGCGTTCGGGATGAATAAGTACTGTAATTATATTTACAATATTTTATTTTCTTTACATATCATGGTGTACTGGTTTGTCGATATATCGATAACAATTATCGACACGCCCTGCACACTAGCGGATAGTCTTGTACGTATTTTTTATATCCATCTCATGTATTAGAGATGCGCGCGCGCCGCCGCGCTGTCTATTAAACTAGTCGAGGCTGAACTATGACGCGGAGCGCACGCTTCTCTTACCTCGCTTATATACTAAGATTTATACGCTTTATATAATTGTGCTTTTCGTTCCTATAAACTATTTATCTATCGCCTATCTTTCTGACTATCTTCTTCTAGTGCTGTGCTTTGACTTTATATCTTGAACCGTCTTCGCCTTCTGTTTGTTAATGTGTATATATGTGCTTTATGGGATTATATTGACGGTCGGAGTCAGCTGTAAGTTGGACGTTTCATTTATTCCCAATTTACCACACCATATACTCCAACACTTTATCAAAAGTCTTGTGTTCTTTGTTGTGTGCAATGAAGATTATTTATTATTATTATTATTATAAAAAATATAAATATTGGTTACAGAGCCAGCCAGGAGTTATTGCCTTTTATACGGCTAAAGATATACCAGGTTTAAATTCATTTATTGTTAAGGAAGATCCTACAAATTCAGCTAATGAAGAAGTATTATGTAGTGGAAATGTAAATTATTACAATCAACCTATAGGTATTATAGTAGCTGAAACACAAAAAAATGCAAATAAAGCTGCAAAGATGGTTTGCGTCGAATATGTGAACGTATGTCAACCAATAACAGATGTAACAAAAGCAAAAACGGATAAAAATAGATTACACATATACAAAAGTATTAGTGCGCAAAGCACAGGCACCGACATTACTAAAATAATAAGAGGCAGTAGTACCATTCGAGGACAGTATCATTTTATAATGGAGACATTTGTCTGCGTAACGCGTCCATCAGAAGATGGCTTTGAAGTATATACCACATCACAGTGGATTGATTCTGTACAAATGATGATATCCAGAGCTTTGAATATTGAAGAAAATCGGTAATAAATCAACAAGATCATAGTACCCATTTTTATAAAAATGCAATAAGTTATATATAGAATTAAGTTTCTAAATATGAAATAATGAACATATTTTCAAATAAAACTAGTTTTTAAAACTATTTTCATAAATAAATAAAATTTCGTGCATTAACCTGTAAAAATTAAATAAATAAAATTTCGTGCATTAACCCGTAAAAACTAGTTTTATTTAATGAGTGATGTGCGTGAAAATCTAAGAAACAAATATATTTTCAAATTCCAAAATCTATCTTTTAGAATTTTTTGTTTCTATTAATAAGACAATCAGAAATTGATTACAGAGCAAGAGAGTAGAATCTTCCGACTCATAAACTACTAGACAAGCTGGAACGTCTGCAGAATTAGTGAATCAGATTCATTTTTAATCTACGTAAATATGACCATGTGCCTCACTTTCGACACAAACTAAAATGGCTCCCTATTCGCCGACGCAGGGACTTACACACTCTTACGGATCTCTATTCTGTACTTATCCTTCCTACTTCTCCGCCCTATCTAAAAGAATGTTTCCCGTTTCTTGATTCCAAATCAGAACGCACTTTGCGGTCCTCTTCAAATCTAACCCTTGCAGTCCCACTCCATTCAACTGATTTCTTTTCATATTCCTTCTCTGTGCATTCTGTTCGTTTGTGGAACTCACTACCTGAAACAATCCGAAAGGCTCGCACTCTAAGCTCGTTTAGTGATCAAGTTAGAGGTTCCTTTCCCAACTTTAAATCTTACCTCTCTCTTGTCTCTCTCTTTGGATATATCTATTGCATCTATTATTCATTATTTATTTTACCATACCTGTTACACCCCCCTTATTGTTTCTCTTATTTATTTATTACACTGTCATGTGTTACCTGGAAGAGATTGCTGTTTAGCAATAAGGCACCTATTGTGTACGTTTTTCACTGTCATTTTTAATAAATTGTATGTCCTGTGAGGTGTATGTTAATAAAGAATATTATTATTATTGTTACTATAGGGTGCTCGCGATTTCGTGTACGTAGTTCAATTGACTTCCCATACAAACTCCCACCCCATCTTTTCACCCTTTTTTGGGATAGTATGAAAAACTTTCGTATGTCCTTTCCCGGGACAACTATTTCAATACTAAATTACATCGAAATCGGTTCAGCGGTTGCAACGTGACGAGGTAACAGGCAGACAAACTTACTTTCGCATTTGTAATATTTGTATGGCTGATATGGAGGTGTTTTTAACGATCAGTTCTTGTGTTTAAAACACTACCATTTTTATTTCACGTTGATTATTATTATTTTAGAATATACGTGCAAGTGCGAAGGCTAGGTGGTGGATATGGAATGAAAATATCCAGAAATACACAAGTTGCAGTAGCGTGCTGTCTGGTGTCTCAAAAATTAAATAAGCCTTGCCGTTTTATAACATCTTTATCAGTTAACACTAGAGCATTTGGAAAAAGATTTCCAAATAATGCAGAACATGAGGTATGTTATTTAACCGCGTAGCTCATAAAACTGTCTTTGTTTGTTTCTTGTAAAAATACAACACAATTTTTTGTTGCAGGTAGCAGTAAATAGTAAAGGCATTGTTCAATACCTAAACTTGAACTTATATGAAGATAATGGATATATGATAAATGAAAGACTACCTGCTTTGGCTGTTTCAAATTTTAGCAATTGCTACGATGGTTCTCGTTGGAATTATAATATTTATAATGTAACAACTGATACAGCCAAGAATACATTTTGTAGAGCACCAGGTAAGATACTTTTATTGCTGTCGCGCAACTTGCGATAAGTTATAATTCCTTTAATGCAATTCATACTTGCATTGCATTAATAGAGCGAGTTTCGGAACGAAACGCGAATTGCTGACCGCGACTGTCACTGTCAAGTCAACATTTTTCACTTTTTATGGCGGGCACTCGGCGGCATTTGTTGGAATTGAAGCAAATCTGGTGAGTGGATTGATAATTTTGTTTATACCACATATATTTTATTGTAATTGACTCTCCAAGCTCTCAAAGCCCTGAGTTGCCAATCAGCATGTGATAAGAAGAAAAATCAAGCAAACAGATGTTACGGAAAGCAGGTTACAAAAATTGGCGCTCTGACTACAGTTGTAGCACGACTAGTAGGTGGCTCTATACTGCATAGCCGGCTCAAATTACCAGTTCAAAGAGATGGCGTCTTAATGAACATGCCTCAAATCTCCGGCAACTACTTGAGAATTATGCGTCAACAGTGGTAAAATGTAGAGTTCTTGTTCATGGACGAGATATCTATGGTTCCGTATGAGATGTTGTGCATGAAAGACGCGCGTTTACGCCAGCTAAAGAATTCCGATGAACCCTTTGTCGGTATAAACATTATGCTCTTTGGCGACCTCATGCAGCTTCCGCCAGTTCGTGGGAAACAGGTATTTCAACAGCCGGACCACCACGGAGCTGTTATCGATACTATAAATACTGTTTTACATTTTATATTTTATATCATAGTTGTAATTAAATAAACATAGTATGCTATATTATTAATGGTGTCGATTCTGGCACAAAAAAAATTACAGCAGTGTATCCTTGTCATTCTCTATACAGAATGAAAAGGAGAGACTGATGTCAAATTTAGTTTTAAGTTTAGCGAATTAATTCTGCTTGAATCGACACCAATATTTGTGAAAAGAATTTTAAAATTAATTTTACATTTTCGTTTAAAATATATCCTAGTTTGCAATAGAAAAAGTAATGTTTATTTGCCTGAAATTATGGAATTATACGACTATATATATATATAGAATATAATATACTTATATTATTATGATAGTACTGACCTACTACTACACAATGACTTTGTGTTTGAAAATATAAGTTTGTATATTTCGGTAATCATAGCTGAAAATGGTTTTCCTAATTATTTAAAATAATAAATACAATCGCCGTTTCTATCATTTTATTAAACAATACGATAGATTTTAAATTGTATGTCTTCATATTTCTGAATTTCCATTGCAGTAAGTGCCGTTTCATACCGGACAGTGACCGGCAGCGACGCGGCGAGCACTTTTACATTGAAAATATGAAAATAGTTTTAAACTTTATTTATATACTTTAAGGAACAGTATCTCTTGTAAAGGGCGATATACTGCTCTTTTAAGTGTGTAGACAAAGTTTAAAAATATTTCATACCGCTTTCAGTGAAAAAGTGCTCTCCTCGCCGTGTCGCTACCATTCCGGTTCTAAGCTGACTGGTAAAACACCACCAAATCAAGTAAAGCGATGTTACGGGAAGCAGGTTACATAGATTAGCGTTCCAGTAACTGAGTTGCAGCACGATTAGTATTCCCTTAGATAATATATTCATTATAATGATGAATATCGCATAACTAATATCTTGATTTTTCAGCAAATCATACAAAAAGTCTTTCCTGTTCCGGCGCCCCACGCTTTTATAATCAAATATGATAATTAAAAGCACATAGTTTACACTTCAGCCCAGAAATTGCGCCAACTTGAACTATGGGAAACCACCCAATCATTGGCACTCGTCCTATTATTGGCACTTTTGAGTTTAATTCGGAAAAAAAAGGAGACAATAGATTATTCAAGGTCGTTACATATTAAAAAGAAAATCCTAGTATGGTTTCGAAATTAAAAAATTGGCAGCATTATTCCTACAATCTATTGTCTCCTGTTTTTTTCGAGCTAAACTCAAAAGTGCCAATAATAGGAAGAGTTCCAATGATTGGGTAGTTTCCCCTATCTATAATTTATTTTTGGTATTACGTGCATTTATAAAAGCGTGTTTTTCTATTTTTTTTTAATTTTTTAAAAGTACACTTTCTGAAATTAAAAAATAAAACTAATTTTATTTTTTATTATAAAAAAATTAATAATTCAATCCTAAGGCGATTATAATAGAACTTTGATAGAAATAAAAATATAGTTTAAAAACTTAAAAACCTTTTATTAATAAATTTATCTAATACAAAATAACTCCTCCTTTGGCTCGAACACATGCGGAAATCCTCCTGGGCATGTTTAGGATCAAGTTATCCAGCATTTCTTGTGGTAACCTGTCCCAGACTTGAACAGCAGCTACTCTGAGCTGCGGCACTGTCTGGGGTGGTGGCTGCCGGTTCCAAACAGCTCGCTTAGAGCGTCCCGCGCGTGCTCTATTGGGTTTAAGTCAGGAGAGCCGGCAGGACAGTCTTACCTTGTGATTTCGTTTTCTTCGAGAGCAGCATTGACTCGTTGAGCTCGATGTGGGGGCGCATTATCGTCAACCAGTACAAATTGGTGCCTATGGTTTACTCGGAAAAGTCGGACGATTCCATCAATAGCTACTGTTCTGTATCTGTCTGCCGTCATGAAGCCTTGATAAGGGATTAAAGGCGTTCTAGCCCCAATCATAATACCACCCCAAAAGGACACTGATTTCCCTCCTTGCTGTACCGTTCCAGTGGCCGTTCTTTGCCTTTTAGATTCTCCAGGTCTTCTCTAAACATAGTCACGTCGGTTATCTGGATGAGAACTGATTCGCGATTCGTCAACGAAGAGGCAGTTATGCCAAATGTTTTCCTTTTAGTCTTCTTCGTTTTGTCGGAGTCTAGCCCACTGTAATCTACATCGCTGACGTTCCCGTGAATTCAAAGGTGCTCGCCAAGACCTCCGTACCTCGTAATCCAGCCTTGTGTAAGCAATTCCGAATGCTCTGAATACTAACTTCAAGTCCGAAGACCGTTGCGGGGTCAATCAGCTAAATTACCCATGCCGTGGTACCTCTGCAACATGGTTACTACACATGATTGGGATATGGCAACTCTGCGTGCTATTTCAATCGTAGAATAGCCTTCTTCTCTTAAAGTTACAATTCTGGCTCTTAAAACATCAGATAATCGTCGTGGGATTTTTTTAATCACAATTTTCGGTGAAAAAATATTTTAAATTCGATAATATTGACTAAGCCAGATTTCTGAATGAGTGTCAGCTTGGATTGCAGTCTTTTTATATGGAAAAACAATTGAATTATGTTATTGTTTTACTTTCTAATTCTTATTTCAAAATTAAGAATCTTATCAGAAAAAGAAATTACAAAAAGTCTTCTGTAACACAAAAAACTTTTTTTTTTACAAAGTGATCGCAAACTCTTTTTGATGTGTGTACTTATGGTAGGGGTAGCTATGAGGGGTGGCAGGAGGCGATTGGCTGGCACAGTGAGAATGCTTGGTCAGCATCTCAGCAGAAAGAATGAATATTGTGCTAAGTGGAGCAACTTGGTCAGTATATGAGTTGTCAAGTGAATATTCACTGTGCATTGGACATCAGAAGACATACCTTCAAGTATCACCAGCACTTAGACTCATAGAGTGTAATCAATGTTTCAATACTAGTGCAGTATATATGATAGACACATAACCATCATGTAGCGTCAGGCAATGAGGTTTCAATCTAAAGACGTATTTATAGCTTCGCCAACCTGGCCACATATGGTGTGACCTGGTTCGCGACAATTGCTAATGATAATGTTTACATATAAAGATTTATTCTAGTTTATTCCTCTCTCACTACAGAGAGAGGCTCGTAGTTCGATAAAAAATATTATTTATTTCCACGAAGTTACCACACTGATACGAAACTTTGTCACCCATTTATTTGATTGTTATATTTTCGTAAATAAATTCCGCACTGGCTAACAACAGTGCAGCTTAGCACTGAATTGTATTTATTGTGTAGGCATAATTTGATATTGGATTTTTTTCTGAACATATATATCGCTGAGAAGTACGGATAAGTCTTATCTTTGAATTTATAGGTGCCCTTGCACCAGAATATATTATATTTTTAATGAGAACAACAACTGCTCTTTTTAGGCACATTGGAAAGTTCTTCGATGGCTGAATTAATTATGGATCGCATATCATACGAAATCGATTTAGATCCAATTCAAATTCGTTTAGTCAATTTAGATCCATTGACAGGAATAAATATTACTAATATGTTGAATAAGTTAAAAAAGAATTCGAACTACGACAACAGAAAAAACGTAGTATTAAAATTCAACAATGAAAATAGATGGAAGAAAAGGGGGCTGCGGGTATCTTTTTTGCGTTGGTCTAACGAAACTACACCTTATTTCGATGTCAATATATCAGTGTACCATGGGGATGGGTCAGTTACTATCTCGATGGGTGGAACAGAAATGGGACAAGGAATACATACAAAATCTGCACAAATATGTGCTCATATATTAAATATACCTATAAGTAAAGTCAACGTGGGGACTACAAATACTGTCAGGGCACCTAATGGTGCTGTAACTGGAGGCAGTGTCACAACTCTACAAACAGGTATTGCTGTCAAGAGATGTTGTGAAGAATTGTTAAAAAGATTACTTCCAGTTCGAAAGTTATTACCCGATGAACCTTGGGAAAATATTATACAAAAAGCTTTTGACATGAAGATAGACTTACAAGTACATGGATATGTTGCAAATGAAAAGGCCACCACTTGTTTTGTATATGGTGTTGCGTTGTCTGAAGTAGAAGTAGATATATTGACCGGCGAATATCAAATTCTTCGTGTGGACATATTACAAGATGTAGGACAGAGTATCAACCCTGAACTTGATGTTGGTCAAGTAAGAAATTGCTTCTTAATACAAAATATTATAAATTATTGCAAACATTTAATCGCATGCAACATGCTTATTTTAGGTAGAAGGAGCATTCGTAATGGGTTTGGGTTACTGGACATCGGAAAATTTAGTTTACGATCAAATTACAGGAGAGTTACTGACAGACAGGTCCTGGAATTACTATGTTCCTCAAGCAAGAGATATTCCACAAGACTTCCGTATATATTTTACTGATGATACATATAGTGATCCTCTTATTTTTGGCGCAAAAGGTAAACTACATTATATTTGTATTTTCGTAAATTAATCACATCATACATTTAAAAGAGATGTAGGTCAGAATGTATTTTTTCAATCATATTGGAGCGCCCGTCTACAGAAATATTACCCACGTAATAGAAAGCTGAGGTAGAATACTACTACACTATTCTATCATAGTGTTTACTGTAACAGGCAGTGAGTAAAGTTGCCTTGACCTCGGACAATCTACTTATTTTACTCAGACCCGAAAAGGTTCAGCTCAGCAAGGTGATGATGTAATGCATCAGATATATTTGCAACTGAATCCCACTTACCCCCACAAAGTGGGATAAAGCAAATCGCCAGGGATTGTATTTAAGGAATTTCATTTTTACAGCTGTTGGAGAACCACCTCTTTGCTTGGCTGTTTCTGCAGCCCTTGCAATCAGAGAAGCTACAACATCAGCACGAGCTGAATCTAAAGCTACGCGGTGCACATGGTTCGAAATAGGTATATTTGAATAAAGAGAAATCATGACCTTGTATAGTGTTATTTGGATGTATTAAATTATGCCTAAAATGTTTCCATGCTGGAGTTAAAGCAAATGAAAAGTAAAGAATGCGCCAGCTCTTAAGTTTCCAGTGCACATAATAACAACTTACCAATAGACAGGGCATATTCAGATACCTATCACCACTGTGTAACTTATCTGTATCAAATATAGAGTTGTTGAGGTGTGTCGTTGAGTAATATAAAATCATTTTTATCCCTGATGTTTTGCCAAGCCTACAAGGAACACATGGCAATTTTGAATATGTGTGTACTGCTTACAAAACAAAAGTATTAAGGTAATAAGTGATAACATATATAATTTGTCTGATTTCTTTTTCAGATGGGGCATATACTGTTGACAAAGTTTGTTTGGCTGCAAATACCAAAATTTCAGATTTTGTCTTCTATTGATATTGCCTTAGGTACCTGCTTTACTCAAGTTTGTTAACTAATAACAGTTTAATGCTTTATATAAAATAATAATAAAATGAAAATTAAGGAAATTCAAAAATTATCCTGTATTTCATTATAAAAATTACAAAGGCATTCTGTGATAGCTAAATTGCAGAATGGGATATTTAACCTTCCTTGTTCCCTATTGATCTAATTTCAACGTCATCTATTTTTTTCTGTATTTCCTCAATTTCTTTTAACTGTCTTTCTTTATCTTCTGCCCAATCGTCTCGTTTTTCTCTTCTGAACTCCAATAAATGAAAAGAATTATCAACTATTTTCTTGTTAGAAGTACTTTTTGTTGACTCTTTTTCTTCAAATCCCTTCTTTGCAATATCTTTTACGGTAGTATTAGTATCCTGTTTAAAAGAATTTACCAGATGATTAAAGGTCCACTTGCAGCAAACTTGCTAAAAGCAGATTCAAGTAAAACCAGATTTTACCCATAGAAAAATTACAAAACGTCAATATCCATTTCACATCATTGTAATCTAATTTTCTAGAATTCAGTTCTTAATATAGAAGGCATCTCTTTATTTAAAATTAGTAGCTATATCATAATGTGAATTAATAATATGTTATGAAAGTTAATATAAGACAAGTTTTCAAGTTTTGATGATTTTTTTCAATTGACGACACTTTACGAAACAAATCACGAAGAAAAAAATAGCCCTTGCTGAGTTTCTTGCCAGTTCTTCTCATTACGAGGTCTCTCGCCGTAGATTTACGAGCCGATGAGGACATAGCGATTGACTTTCAGAAGAGCTTGTAACTGACTAGATTGAATAAATGTGTTTGGATTTGAATTTAGTTGAATCGAAATTTAGCAATTTGCTGCAAGTGTACCTAAAGCATAGAAATCATGCTATGACGTTTGAGCGTGCACTCTCTTAGAGCCTGCGCTGCGTTAAGCTGGAGCACGGAGCGGCGTCCACTCTGTTTGTTTATTTCGTGTTATTTCATAGAGCATATCATATGTAATTACATGAAAATTGCACGCGGCTCGGATATCCGCTCAGCAATTATTTTTAACCAAAATATTTCCAAAATAGTATTAACCAAAAAGTATTAGTGGCGTGTTCGCAAGGTGTATTTGACATTTTGGTTTTAGATTCAGTATCGTACAGGTAACGAAGATATCAACAAGGTAACCAGTTTGATGTTTGTATAGTGGTACGCACGCTATTCATAGCAATATATTATATTTGCCCCTTTTTTGTTTTATAATATGTAAAAATAAGATAACTATATGATTCGATTTTACGAGTTAAATTTAAACTCTTTCTTTGTTTTTTAGTTTTAGACCTATACAAACATGTCAAATCGTCGATGTCAATTTGACATTCTCGCAGGGTTAAAACATTTTTTTAGTTAAATCGAGATTAAGCTAAAATTTCTGCATGTGGTCCTTACCCCATAAAAGAATGTCAAGTTGGCAGGTTTTGATTATATGTAGATTAACGGCCTGCGTTAAGAGGTCCGATCTGTGCTCAGTTGCGGGACCCGTTCTGCCCGTTGCGGGACTTGCGAAGGACTCCCGCTTTAAATAGGGCCTCCTGTACAATTTCGACGGCGCGGGTCAACAGTCGATAATGGATTATTTTGATTGATAACACGACCTAGCTAGACTTCATTCCAGATAACATTAAAAAAAAGAAACTGAAAAAGAAGCAGGGTTTCGAAACCTTTTCATGTCATATATAATGATGAAATATGATAATCATATTAAATTTGATAATACCTATATTGTGTATTACCAGATACCCTGAAGTGTAATATTATTTATTAATTATTATCATCAGTTGAAAATTTGTACCTAAAAAAAATCTTTTTTTAAATATATACATATAAATAACCTTTTTTTACTTAATAAATGGAAGATGATGAAGACAAGGCCAATCGAGCGTGCCTCGTCACCAGCGGGGCGGGCTACGCCACCCGCCTCGTGTATGACGGGAGAAGCTCAATTTTATTGGCTGTGTTCTTTGCTCTTTATCTAAACAACTGTTCGCCCGCGCGAATCAAATTGCACTGGCGATGTTGCGAGAGGTGGGAGTACGTCGCGGGTTGAATTTGTCCGCGACGGAGCACGGAGCAGGTCTCCGCGACGGACGTCCACTGCATGCTTCCGCTTATGGCCACGGTGGCTCTTAAGGATACGTATTTTGCTGATTTAAATGTCTTTGATGTTCTTGTAGGTAACCGCTCAATGGCTGGCTCAATTTCGAAACAGGCAAATACGGAGCATTATATTTAAAAATAGGAATTTTGTTTGGATAGATCGAATCTTCTATCATACTCGTACTTATAACAATAAATATATTTAAAATCATTTACTCACAGTGGATGACTGTATTGATTTATTGTCTTTTTTTAAGCAGTTGAAGCAAAGAATTTTCCGTTTTTTATTCTTTTTCAACTTTTGCGTTTCATTTTTACTACGGAAAAAAAACGGAAGCTTCAGATATTTCGAAGAACTGAAAAAAGAAGTAGGTAGGACATTAAATTGGAAGCGTCAGATATTATACGAGAAAAGCTCGATTTATTTTAGTCATATAAAGATTGGTCATCAGTTAGATGTACAAATCCCTCCGGTCTATTAGGACCGATTCATATATTGTACTGATTTCATAATGAACATTTTTTTTATTGACTAGCGAGCTAGATATTGACATGTAATCTTAAAGTACTTTAGGGACAAAAAAATCTGGGGCATTTAATATCGTTGCAAAGTATTAATAGATTTGAGGAAAGAGTTCGTTTTTTTTCTCAATCATCGTTTTTACTTAATATCACGAATGTAGCTTTTCTGTTAGATAATAAGAATTTCCGGTATTCTAAAACAAAGACATTTAGAAAATGAGTCATTTTGGGAAAAGATGATTTTGATATTTGTTCATTATGAAATCACTACAATATTCGAATTGGTCTTAACATACCGGAGTGTTATCAACTGTAATAAGTAGCTTATAACCATTTCTCCATATAATTCTATTAAGTACAAGAGTAAGCTTTGTAATTGATTCATTAATGGGCTGGCGACGATGATATTTCATGTACGGCACGTTAGCAAACTCATAAATCTAAGTTGAGACAGCAGCATCGCTAATGCTGATGGTAATGTAACTCATTGAACTATAGCAGCATGACAATTACTTATTAATTGTCATGCTGCTATAGTTCAATGAGTTACAATTGAATATCAAAAATTCTGGGATAATGAACGAAAATGAGTGACTGCTATTAAATCGTCCATTTACTGTCTGTTTTAATAATCAACCTATAGAACGAGATAGGCCTATTAGAGCTTTGTTGACATGATATTTTTATTATTTAGATTAATATAACATCTGTGTCTATGAAATTAAACCAGAATCAGCTTAATGAATATTGGTTAATGAAACTGGCCTCAAAATAATTTAACAGTAGGAACGTTTCCAAAAGCAAACGAAAAATTTGCCGAAGTCTAAATTATTATAACAGTTATTTGTGTAAATTGCATCTTATTGCAACTTATTGCATCACATTGTCATAAGATATAACGGGGTTAGAATATTCACTGATGAAAATATAATTAAGACCAAACTGAATTAAGAAACGTGTCTTGTAGTGAAGTCAATCAGAACGCTTCTAGTGTGAATCGTTATCATCATTTAAAAACTCATGCAAAATATTTTTGGAAACGTTTTCCAAGACAGACTTTACATAGTTATACAATCTATCGAAATATCGAATATTATTTGATGTATTTATCATAGGATGATTTGATAAATTGAATTTTCGCGAAAATCGTAGTTATTTCACGAAAACGCGGATAATTAGACAGTGGCAATGACATTAATTCTCAATTTTACTGAAAAAAAAATAGGATTTTACGCGAAAACGCTACTTGCGTTATTAACATTGAACATCCTTACTCTGATTGGCTTGATTTTTGCTCGCTGATAAAATCTTATTCTGGTTGGTTCTTAGTTTTATCCTATAGTTTTGAGTATTATTATCACAGTCTTAGAAATGAAAACGGCTTTTAAATTGCCACTTGTTATTGTGACTAGAAGTTAATTGGACCTCATGTTTCTGAGGTTACTAGGAAGATATTCGCTGCTGCGGGCTCGTTGCGCTCAAGGAAAAACTTGCTTTCTGTGAGGACCAAGGTTGAGCTTGCGCAATCCCTCTTAATAATACAATCTCTCATGATAAGCTTCAAAGAATTCAAAATCTTTGCATTCGATTTATCTATGACCTGCGCAAGTTCGACCTTATTTCTGAATTTAGGAGAAAGCTCAAGTGGCTTTCCATTAGGTTGCGTCGTGATGAGTATCTCCTCTTACTATTTTATAAGGTGTTGTAAGACCCTCGCACTCCCACTTACCTCAAGGACCGTTTCAATTTCTTAGTGTGGACAACAATAGCGTTTTGCGCTCAAAATACGATAATGTGTTAGAGATATCTCTCACCCACTCTGAATATTATATGGACTCCTTTGCAATTAAAGCTGCACAACTTTGGGACAAGCTTCCGCCTGAGATCCGTCACGCCAAGTCAATAGACATTTTTTTAAATATTCTTCATGATTTTCTCCTACTTAGACCCTAGTCTGCTGTATCTATGAAAATATAATAATGCATAATATGTATGTGTATATATAGTGTATATACATTTGTAGGTATATGTTCTTTATTTGTTTATAATCTTTTTATTTTTAAGAAAATATGTATATTTCTTTGTTTTATCTTGCTGACATACTACAATTTAATCGCTCAAAGCGATAAGGCCGCCTTTGCCCACATTATGTTATTGCTAATTTTTTTTGGATTCTTTTGGGTGTGCACACACACAAAGTTAGTAAAGAATTTATCTATATTTCTATGTATCTATATTTCTGTTATAGGTTATTTATTTATTTATGATATTTATGCTTGCAGAATAATATGACACTACGTAATAGGTGAAAGTAATAGAATAACAGGAGATGTACGAAGTTGCCTTTTCATAAACAGATTTTTTCCTCACCTACACTATGTCGTATTTTTTTGCATTTCTATACTTTTGTTGTGTTTTCGGTTGTTTAAGTACAGTTGCATAATTGAATCCTTCTATTGAAGCAATCTCACTATTTAATTTTTTAATTTTTGAAGTTATACTTCTTTAGGCGCGTTATGAAAAAATGATGAGAGTGAAATTTTAAAGAGGCGCGCGCATCACTGTAACACAAAATTTTAACAGCATGAAGTTGGTCGCTTTAGCGACCAACTTCATGCGTTACTTTTGTGTTTACCGCACATTAAGAAAATCTACCAACAAAATAGAAATAGAATCTCTATTTTGTGGGTGCTAACGACTGCATTGTGAAGGCCTATCAAAAGTATTTATTAATCTGGAACAACGGAACCAAAGCGCGATTCAGGAGACTACAGCGCCATCTCTTGACCATTGGTGTAGTAGAACCAAAAACCACATCTTTATTTTTTGTAATAAAGTAACAGTTATAGGTATTCATATTTATAATATTTATCCACATGTTTCTAGTTTGTATATTCGGAATACGTGTTTGAGTTTCATACAAGTGCAAATCACATATGTTCTAATAAATTATATTCAGTAGCGATTTTAATTGAATATTTTGATTATTTATTTATTTTTTCAAATTAAAACTGAACTTTATTGACTGTGTCCTTTTCCAGACTTTATATTAATTTATTGTAATTAATTATTTGCATGCAATTAAAAACTAATTTTAAACGATGCCAAAGAAGGATAACTTCTCACGCGCCTACATAAGTACACGCACCCACTTTATTTTTTTTGTGATCTTTTGTCCATTCTAGTTGAGTGGTTACGTATTGTATAGACAGGACTAATAGTAGTATAAAGCTTTCTTAGTTATATGGCGAATATTTCTTTATTGGATTTATATCTTACCTAAAAATTAGTTTTCGATTCTGTATAAATTTTATTTATCTCTATCATTCAGTAATTACACAGACACCTCTATATGTTTTTGCACTGTTTACCGTATTAAATAATAAATAAAACTTCTAGCTCTTTTACAAAACACAATCAGAAATGTAACATATTCATATATCGGCGCGCGAGGTTGGTTTGATATTTAAAATTTTAAGTCATCAACTAATTAGAGAAGATGTAGAGTTTTGGGCACTTCAACCTGCCAATCAAAGGTGTTATTAATAATAAGACAACGATTCTTTCGCGTTCTTACTGAGACGAATCGCGTTTTCGCAAAAATCCCATCATTTTTCATTAAGATTGAGAAATGTTATCACCATTGTCTAATTACGGAACGGTCTTAGTACGGAACTATCACTGTCTAACGTGGTCAAATATCTACGCATAATAGTTGACCATAGGTTGACATGGAACAGTCATCTAGACAATAACATAAACAAGGCCAGTATCACTTTTTACAACCATAATCAGACCACTAATCACCTACGGGGCAATTGTCTGGTAGCCTAGAACCGAACTAACCACCGTAAAAAACAAACTGCAGCGTTTTCAAAGACTTGCATGCTCAGCGTTTACAGGCTGCATGAAATCCACACCGACAAACGCCCTAGAAATAGCGCTAGACCTACTGCCACTAGATCTGTTCATACAGCAAGAGGCAAAAATGGCAGCGCTAATAATGTATCATCTGGGCCTATGGACGAGAAACCAAGGACCTCACTGCAATATTTTAGAAAGGGCCATACAATACCAAACCCCTTGTAATAGCCCGCTGTGACAAAATCCCGACTATAGACACATTTGATAAGAAATATCAAATAGAACTACAGGAAGCCAACAAGGACTGGTCCGGCACAGACGAAATGCGCATATACACTGACGGATCAAAAATACCAGGATCCGGATCAGGCGCAAGAGTCTAGTCCTTAACATCCATATATCAACCGCATTGGGTACTCACAGCTCAATATTCCTATTCGAATCTATAGCTATTACCCAGGCCGCCACCGCTGTCATCAACAGGAAAGTCACAAACTATAAGATACGCATAATATATCATAGTATGGCTGTCCTAAGTGCCCTAGATAGTAACAGCAAAACTTCTGGGTAAAAATAAAAATGGTGTTATTTATTTCCAACAATAAGTAACACCATTGTCTATTTACGAATAATTAGCACGCGTTTTCGCAAAACTCTAGGATTTTCTCAAAAATACGGTTTATCAAATTATGCTACGACATATAATTTTTTACATATTTTGGTGTCATTTTCTACGCCAAACCCATAGTAAATAGGATTTGTTGTCTGTGTCTTTACGATAAACCCTATTAATTTCTACGTACCTTTTTTTCTGGAGATTATGCCTCAAGCCGGGGCCTATACTGGACAATCCATAT